GAGCGATAAAGCGAGAAATCGAGAAATCGATAGAGCGAGAAAGCGAGAAAGCGATAGAGCGAGAAAGCGAGAAAGCGATAGAGCGAGAAAGCGAGAAAGCGATAGAGCGAGAAAGCGAGAAAGCGATGTCCCCTCTCAGCCACCATATGTAACCCTTCATTTCTCACATTCAAAATTTTCCCCCAATCTAATCTGATGGCCTGAAGCCAATCTCTGCCAAGCAAGTTCTCGCCATCACCTTCCACCACTGTCAGCGGGAGAGTGGCCGACTGATTTCCATAATTTACTTGAACGTCTGTAGTGCCTACTATCGGTATTCTCTCTCTGTTGTAGGACCGAAGAATAGCATTGGTCTCACTTAACTTGGGCCTGTCATCACCATCCTTCCACACTGAATGGAAAGTACTTGAACTGATCACTGAAGTTGCTGCGCCAGTGTCTATCTCCATAGTTAGCTTTTTACCATTAACTAACACTTCAATGAGATAGGGCTCCACTCTGTGTCGCTTACCACTCAATCCGTTTTGAGCATGTTGAGTTTCTACCTTAAAAAGTCCATATTCATTGTTCTCGTCTTCCTGAGATACATCGTCAATACGATTAGCATGATTAGTGGAAGATCTGTTGTCCTTGTAATGGGTACCACGACCATGACCACGGCCCCTGTCGCGACCGCGACCACGACCACGGCTGTGACCACGACCTGAAGATCTATCATTCATGGCGCTGCGAGAGCGACAAGCACGCTGGATATGACCAACCTTATTACAATTGTTACACACAGTGTTTTTGTAATAGCACTGACTACTGACATGATTTGAGCCCCCACAGCGATCACACTTCCTGCCTGCATTATTTCTCCTGTTTTCCTCTCTAATCTTGTGCACTGGCCTTGGCATCTGATCTCCCCCTTTAATATCATGCACTTCCTTAGCAGCCATTTCCATTCCTAAACACAAGGAGTAAGCCTTAGCAAAGTCCAATGTTTTCTCAGTTAACAGTCTTTTTTGCATTGCTTCATTGTTGATACCACACACTAGACGATCCCTTAACTGAGTCTCTAAATCAGTGAATTCACATGTTGATGCCAAACGACGTAGCTCAGCCACATATGCCGATACAGTTTCATTAGGCTGTCTATCACGCATATTGTACCTCCTCCTTTCCATCATAATAGTGGGTTTCGGGTGTAAATGTGACTTCATCAGGTGTACTAATGCATCATAAGAATGATGGCCAGGTTCCTGTGGCATTGACAAGTTCCGTATTAACTTGTATGACTTCGAACCAATCACACTCAATAGAATAGCACGCTTCCTACCCTGATCTGTAATTTCGTTTGCTTCGAAATAATGTCCAAGTCTCTCGACATATTCATTCCAGTCATCAGTCTGAGAATCATATTCATCTATTTTGCCGAAGGTAGCCATGTTGTTTTGAATACCGGGTGAACGCACGTGGTCTGACCAAGATCGTTGTTACTACTCGCCGGCACGACAAACGCACTTAATTGACCTCGTCGCCAATATATGTGGTAACCCCAGGCTACATACAATCATTTAATAAACAAGACAACCCGGTATTAGAGGGATAGTCAAGATGTACATGTATTTACTCTTCTTGAGTGTTTACATTCATGGAGGAAGCAGCCGTCGCGAGGTTCCCAGAATTCCCTGCTAAGGGAGCAGTTATTATGCTTAAGTGGAAATCACGGGGAGTGGCTTATTGTTTAAACTGTTACTCTATGACACGGATATTTCTGCGTATGGAACAATCTGACCAGTCACCGTAGGGACTTCCTGCGCTACATGTATTTCGATTGTGAAAATGTTATGTTGACATAATAGTCAAATTGCCACAAATATGACTTTTATTGAGTCAAAGTATGGCATTTATGATGTATGTATCCATTCTCTGGCAACTTCATTTCAAGGCATAAATAGCGGTAATCTGACCATTGTTGCTGTAAATAAGTATTGCGTGATGTGCTCACGATGATCAGCTGAAAACATCGTGTCAGTGTAAAACTTGAGTTTATAAAATATGTAAATAAATTTGGGGACCCATGCGTTACTGCACGCTATAACCGAATTAACACAAAATTGATGGGCGCAATAGCGAGGGAACACTATCTCTGATTCTCAGTTCTGTAGATGTAACATTTACCAGAGACCATATAACATATTATATAGTCTCTGATTTTACTGAATTTATTACTGTATTTGTCGTAATAAGCGCCAAGGGCGCTCTCAAAATTAGAAATAGGGGGCTCTTATTAGAATATTATTTTGGTGGAAAAAACAGAATTGAAAGATAATTTCGTGGTTTAAGCTGACAGCCTGAAATGTTTATATCAACATATATATTTTTCCAGAATTTAATTGCCTATAATTAAGGGTGCATATATCACACGAGTGCGTATTATACGCGAATAAATGAGTCTTGTGTACATTGATCAATCCGAGGGGTGCTAATTGGGATTGTTCACTAGTCAATATATTAGCAAATATCGCTGTGGGCGCTTATTACATCGAATATGGTAGTTTTGGGAAAGTACATTTTAAAATAGGGCAAGTAAGACTGTTGGTCATACTTGCCCTTGGTCAAGTAACATATTGCATAAATTTTCAACCCCTGCAATCTTTGTTGCATTTTCATCTCATTTTACCTATGACATTTACAATAGTGACGCTGTCCATTTTCAGAGTCAAATATGACAATGGGATCTTTTACTTACTACCTTGAACAGTGTAACTTGTCAACCGTTTACCCCAACCTCATTCTTAGTGAAGATTTATAATTATATCCGACATCCATGTAGGAGTCCAACTAATCATAACCTTGAAACATGATCGTCTCACACAGTGTTCAAGACAAGTTCTGAGTAGGGCGGGGATGGGTACCTCGGGTAGGGTCGGGTCCAGAGTAGGACAGGGTACCCACAGGACTACCGGGACTGGTGGTTAGTCACGTGATATTGTTTGATGACAAAAACTCACTATAGCTCAGTGGTTACACCACAATTCGTTAATATTCGTATTTCTTTCTGATGACGCACACATTCCTTTTGACTTGTATATGTCTAAGTAAAGATAAAGCTTCAGTCAACATCAGTGTACTGATCGTTATACATGTATCAAAATAGTTTTGGCCAACGCTGCTATAAAATAATTCCCAATTCTTGAGACCTGTAGTGGGTAAGCAAATGAGGAGACATTTTTTAAATAATTCTGCATAAAATCTCTTTTCAGGTGACTTCCATATTCCAGCTGATCATATGCATCCCTAAGTATAATATAAGCACAAAACACTGATATCTGTCTCAGTTAAAAAAAAATAAACAAGAAAAAAATCATATAAGTCAAAAACAATAATAGTCTTTGTTCTCAGGCACTGCCTGCATCATCATAAAGTTCGCAGTACGTTTCGTTAATATTTCCATTTTTTTTTAACATAAAAAAATCCTTAAATATTTCAAGTCCAGTGGTCGTCAAATACTGCATTCCAGTACATTAATCCTCAAGGAAAACATTTATATAGGGAGGCCCTTTCCAAGGTTGATTGTACACAAACCCCACAAAACCAAAAAAAAACCCATAAAAAACACCGCCCTCCTGCACTTTATTTTCAAAAGCCATTGCCTTAGAACCATTTCTTTTATTTTATTAAGCCTAACACATTTGAGCATTATTCAATGCAGAAGGGGCTATACATATGCAGGGCCAGCATTCAATCAGTAAATAAGATCTGTATACAGGAAATATGTGAAAACAAGGCAACATTGGAAAATTATGCAGTTTATTAATGCAAATGAGTTGTTTAAATTTTTCAAGAATATTTGTACGGCAGCGACTTAAAATAATTGGGTAATGACAAATTTACTTGCATATTCTATGCAGAGATGCAGCTTATCCTTAGCACTGAAAACAATATACATGGTGAAAATATATTACCAACCATACAGGAAGTCAAGAAGTAACCATTTGCATCATCACCAAACATATCTGCAGTTTCAACATCTTTTAGGTACAATTATCCCAAAGTAATTCTACAATACTAGAAAGCAGAAAATCAGGTTGTCACTCAAAAGCACTAAGCGAATATAGGCCAATACCACCCACCCTGCCCAACCTGCCCCTGGTGAACATGTGGACTAGGAATAGTTTTTCAGTGAGAATGGTGAGTACAAATTTAATATTTGTGATGGTTGTATTTAGGCCCATGTCAAAAGTTATCAAACTGGAAAACCGGAAACCACGGGACCAGCTACTTGTTTGTATCCCTACTCCACACTCAGAGGTACAACTTCCTTCTTCAGATACATATACTGATCTATCACAGCCAGCTAGACTGTGACGTCTTCTTCAAGGTGTCCTCTGTTTGGGCATGTGGGGCATTTGTTTTTTTATGTGAAAGCAAGTTACAGACTCTGATGCCATAAAAAACTATGAAGAACTAGGAATGATGCATGTATTGATTCCTAAAATATCCTTTGGAGGACCCTCTTGAACAACAATTTTAGCAAGAAAATATTAAAATACAATTTGACACTGGTAATGTTTTATTCATTCTCAAAGAATACCTTTAAGGGCATATGCATTATAAACATGACCCAGTCATGACCGCATGGCGTGTCATGTTAGAGTAGATCTAGCTGCACCATGAATGCATTGCAATGTTCTTGAGGGCGTATGTGATTCAATCAAGCGTGCTGTGGTGTCAAGACCAGTTTCTTCATTTAGTCTTCGTCAAAATTGAGTCAGCTCTGTTGTTTGAGTTGCAAAGCAAGTCATACATTAGAAATGCCGAAAGAACACACGTTGTTAACTCTCCTGGAAAAGACAACTCAGGACATAACATGGGTGTTGTTGGAGATCACGATGACCCCGCTTCCTGCAACATAGTCCCTTTAGGTCGATCATTTCGTTATACGAGCCACAGCTTCGACATATCGTCAGTCAATCATTAGTTTATCAACAAACGGATGTTAAAATACGCACCTGTTCCGCAACAAACCGCTGCCTCCCTACGCCAAACGCTGTTCCGACGCGCTTTCTCTGTATTCGTGGAACTGCTCGGTGTCGGGGGAAGTCTTTCTCGGAATTGACGAAAATAGACTACAATTTAACTGTAAACGTCAATATGATTGGACCGTTTTTCCTACGTTTTGGGAATTCCCCATACTGTGACCAATGAAATGCGGCGTTTTGTATTAATGATGGGAAATTCCTTTCTCTGTATAGAAGATTGAGTTTCGGTTGTTGAATTCATCAAACTAATATTCTGGAATTCCCATTCACTGCTGTAAGTGAAAGAAAAGCAAGTATATTAGCTGCGCGCCAATTTTGAAACAAACACCGGGATATGATGAGACAAAAAAAACTTTTTACTTTTCCAGCATCGTATGTCCCAATTTATACGACAGGTGCTCGCTGACCGGTGAATCAAAATAATGTGTCGTTCTGACAGTTGAAGATAAAGATTATTATTTAATATTATCAACGACATGACCATTTATTGATCGCGAATCGTCCATTGTTGAAGTGTCTTCGTAGATAAACCATTACGCGTTGCCAAGACATTGTTTGGTATAAAAATAAACCACCAGACGAGATCAAATTTAGGGGTCATATTTACAGCAGCAGCACCGTCTTAATGATGATGCGATCATATGACAAGTGTCTACTTACGTATCACATCACATGATCGGAGACAGTTGTTGTCTTGATTGTATCTTCTCCTTGAGGCTGTTGTTTATTGAGGTAAACATTGTAAGGTGATTATTACTATAGAAAAACAAGTTCATAAGACACACGTTGTAAATGTAAAAATTATATGAATTTAATAGCCTATATAATAATCACAGGACCATGTAGATTCTAACTAATATCCTATACTAACAAACTCGCAGGGAGGTCTGTCTGCGTGATTGTTAGATACAGGGTCCTGTGATGTAAGATGTCTGCCATTGCAAGACTAAGAAAGAGCCAGTATTGGGGATAAAGCTGGAATTAAAATCTGTTATAGATCTATAGATATAGGAAACCTCAATACATATGATATTTTTTAATTAAATAATTCTGTTGTACTTCAAGCCTTATGTAGATATATGGACGATAAGCTGTGTTATGTGATTGATGTTATAATACTTTCTGACCGCCTCCGTGGTCTTGTGGTAGAGCGTCCGCCCGGAGAGCGGAAGGTCCAGGGTTCGATCCCGGGCCGCGTCATACAAAAAGACGTTAAAAGATTGTACTTGTTGTTACCCTGTCTGGCGCTCGGCATTAAGGGGCTAAAACAAGGACTGGTCGGCTCGGAGTCAGTATACTGTGTCTGAGTGAGGTATTCATGTTAAACTGCGGCATGGTATCTCAGTGAGCTAGCACTATAAATCGGCATCAGTCCGGACTAGTACAAGCAGCCACACACACACATACACGTGCATGCACGTCGCTATATAAGTGCAATAATCTTGGACGCGACGTTAAACCCAATTTCACCTATAATACTTTCTGACATTTTGTTTTAGGCAAATATTTCTCATTTTCACTTGTGGATTATTTTAAGATGAAAGGGTATAAATTAAGTGCTGTCTCCACTGTTTGAAACAAGTCATGCCTACCACAGATCCAGCAGACTAAACCATAAATACTGTCTGTGTAGTGTCAGCCTAGACTTCCTTGTATTACTGCACTGTTACCTCTGTAATTATGTAAGGGTGATCATTTTAAAATGTTGTCAGATATGTAAGATATGAATTGTTAATGCTTATGTCCAATACTTATACCCACGTCCCTCGAGGCCACTTCCTCGAGTATGGCGCCATGTCATTGTCAAAGAAGTAGTGTGTGTGTGTGTGTGTGTGTGTGTGTGTGTGTGTGTGTGTGTGTGTGTGTGTGTGTGTGTGTGTGTGTGTGTGTGTGTGTGTGTGTGTTTGTACTAATCCGGACAAATGCCGTTTTCATAGTGATAGCCACTGAGATACCATGCAGTAGTTTTAACATCAATACCCCACTCAGACACAGTATACTGGCTCCGAGGCAACCTGTCCTTGTTATAACCCCTTAATGCCGAGCACCAGGTACGATCACAAGTACCATCTTTTAACATCTTTTGGTATGACGTGGCCTGGGATCAAACCCTGGACAGTTCTGCTCCCTGGGTGGATGCTCTACCATTTGACCATGGAGGTAGTCCATAGGGCTGGGACGGGTAACTCGGGTACCCGGGTCGGGTGGGTACTGAGTAGGACCCGGGTACCCACAGGACTACCCGGACCCGTGGTTAGTCACGTGATATATTGTTTAATGATAAAAATTATCTGGAACTCTATGGTTACACCAAAAGGCAATAATGTTCGCATTTCTTTCTGATTATGCACCCATTCCTTCTGATTTTTCATATGGTTGAATAAAGATATAACTTAATTCAACTTCAGTGTATGAATGACCAAATTGTTTAATACATGTATATAAATATGTTTTGCCAGGACTATGCTAAAAATGTTCCCAATCAGACATTTTGAGACATCTCCTGAGACCTACAGTGGGTACCCGGGTAGGGTCGGGTCGGGTAATAGGGGGGTGGGTACCCGGGTAGTAAATTTGGACTTGTCCCAGCCCAAGTAGTCCAGTAGCAGTAATAGTGATACTGGAGGGAGTAACTGTGACTCTAGTATTGACATTAGAGGTAGTAGCTGTGACACTAATAGTAGCAGTAGTAGTGACACTAGAGGCAGGGAGTGTGACACTAGCAGTATGACAAGTCATGACACTAGCAGTAGTATTGACACTAGCAGTATGACTAGTCATGACACTAGCAGTAGTGAGGGCACGGGTGGCCAAGTCGTCTAAAGCGCTGCGATTCGCTGTGGAGAGTTGCGTCCCTTGGACACACCAGAAACCTATGGTCGTGGGTTTGAACCCCGGTTCGCCCGGATTAAGGTTTTAGGTTTGTCAGCACCATACCCATGCTCGTGGGTTTCACCGAAGTGGTAAACGTCTGAGACCTGCGACACTTCGGGCTTTCCTCCCACATAAAGCTTGACACGCCGTGATATAACTGGAATACTGTTAAAAGCGGCGTTAAACTCAACTCACTCACACACTAGCAGTAGTAGTGACACTAGAGGCCGGAGGTGTGACACTAGCAGTATGACTAGTCATGACACTAGCAGTAGTAGTGACACTAGAGGCCGGAGGTGTGACACTAGCAGTATGACTAGTCATGACACTAGCAGTAGTAGTGACACTAGAGGCCGGAGGTGTGACACTAGCAGTACGTCTAGTCATGACACTAGCAGTAGTAGTGACACTAGAGGCCGCAGGTGTGACACTAGCAGTATGTCTAGTCATGACACTAGCAGTAGTAGTGACACTAGAGGCAGCAGGTGTGACACTAGCAGTATGTCTAGTCATGACACTAGCAGTAGTAGTGACACTAGAGGCCGGAGGTGTGACACTAGCAGTACGTCTAGTCATGACACTAGCAGTAGTAGTGACACTAGAGGCCGCAGGTGTGACACTAGCAGTATGTCTAGTCATGACACTAGCAGTAGTAGTGACACTAGAGGCAGCAGGTGTGACACTAGCAGTATGTCTAGTCATGACACTAGCAGTAGTAGTGACACTAGAGGCAGCAGGTGTGACACTAGCAGTATGTCTAGTCATGACACTAGCAGTAGTAGTGACACTAGAGGCAGCAGGTGTGACACTAGCAGTATGTCTAGTCATGACACTAGCAGTAGTAGTGACACTAGAGGCCGGAGGTGTGACACTAGCAGTATGTCTAGTCATGACACTAGCAGTAGTAGTGACACTAGAGGCAGCAGGTGTGACACTAGCAGTATGTCTAGTCATGACACAAGCAGTAGTAGTGACACTAGAGGCAGGAGATGTGACTCTAGCAGTAATACTAGTCATGACACTAGTCATGACACTAGCAGTATGACTAGTCATGACATTAGAGTGAGTAGCTATAGAAAAAGTCTGGTATTACTGTCAGTTGTAACATTGTGTTAAGAAGGTAATATATTGGTGAAATCAAGTTTATATATTTAAGAAACAAATACCAAATCATGGTTCTATCACACCACACAGCAGTGAATCTGTCATGGTGATCTTATTAAATCTGAGCCTAGTTTGGCTTTGTCACATTCACAGCTGTTGCCGGAGGTTTATTAAACATTAAACATTATCTCCATTGCAGGGAAGACAAGCACTGTTTCAATAACAGTGACAGCAAGATGGCCCCCTTCAACTAGTTCAGGTGAAATATGGGTCTGCTCTGTACACTGTGACACATACACGTAACAGGCCATTATGTGGACCGTGTTGACCTGGCTGACGCAGGAAGCTTTCCGAGGAGACTATAGTTTATGTAAAGGATCACAGAATGTTCAAATAACATTTTAACAATGGAAAAAGAGGAATCGGAGCCACTGATGCCCTCTTGTTCTGGAGAGGAGGTGCGAGGTGTAAGTGCATCACCGGAATGTGCACGGGTAGATAGACCGCATGAACACATTACCGGTACTAACTCTGAGGTTAAAGGTCATGTGCAGGTCACAGAACACCCAACGGTACATTGGAATTTTATTTATGCTTTTTACAATATTGTGAATGATGCTTAGATTTAGTTTTGTACATATATTTGCTTTTTTTTAAGTTTTATGATTTACTGTTACCGTATTCGACGTAATAAGCGCCCAGGGCGCTCTCAAAATTAGAAATAGGGGGATCCTATTAGAATACTATTTTGGTGAAAACAAACAGTGGAAAGATAAATTTCGTGGTTTATACTGACAGCCTGAAATGTTTATATACGAGAGATACATTTTTTCGGAATTTAATTGCCCGTAATTAAGGGTGCATATAACACACGAGTGCGTATTATATGCGAATAAATAAGTGTTGTGTACATTGATCAATCAGAAGGGGTGCTAATTGGGATTGTTCACTAGCCAATATATTAGCAAATATCGCTGTGGGCGCTTATTAGAGCGGGGCGCTTATTACGTCGAATACGGTATATCTGCTTGAATTTGCATGCCTGTTTTGCCAATGCTTATAGTGTCATCTCTTACCTACCACAAATACTGCTTGGAATTTAATTTCTGCCACCATGCTGTGTCCATGGCTATACAGTGACAATAACTATTTTATAACCCCTTTGTAGTCACTTGTACCATAGTAACAGGATGACCTCTAACATTTTGATAATTATTATCAGTTATGTTCGTTAATAATTTTCAATGCCTTTGCACTTTGTATTTGAATTGGTTATCATTATTGTAACAAAAACTTATTGGTCGATACAATGAGTCTTCCCAATGTGTCAGATTACCTTCATATAAACAACAGCAAAATATTTATCAAAACATCTGCTTTCCCAGTGACGATGACTACACGCTTGATATAATCACAAATATATATGTGATGTCACACAGTGGGTGCACAAGACATGATGTTACACATAGTGCACCTCAGTGTCATGTTGCTTACTGCATGCATTTTATCATATACAGGGCAGAATATACCGATTAAACTCAGAATGTTGTACAAATTGCAGCGCCATCTGGCATTCTTTATTGTCAACGTTGTCATTTGAGCGTTTGGTGTCCTTTTGTTCTTTTTTTCATATTGTGTATATTTGTTTTGTATTTTGATTTTGATTTGTAACATTTAATACATTATTCATAAAATTTGACTATTATTGAGCTATTATTGCATATTGTGCCATTTATTTCAACTGATGTATTTTTTTACCAAATGGCCGCCAATCGATACAAAGGTTGCAAGTTCAATCCAGTGCAATATAAAGAAGATATTTGTCATTGACTTTACACCATTCAGCACATTTCCTTACGTATATAGTGTTTAAATGCAACATAAATCTCCATTGGGGGACACTCACTTGCTACAGTGTCAACGGAAGTTGTAAATATACAATCCCCGGGATATTATATAAACTCCTTGGACGTTGTATTAAAAATCCCAGGGATATTTTAACATCCCCATATGTGAGATTTAACCCCATTGGAGAACAATAGCATGAAGTCCCTGGAGGTTTATAATGACACAGAGAGGCCAGGTGACAGGTGTTTCCCTGGATATAATGGAAGTGTGTATGGTTTTACGCCGCTTTTAGCAATATTCCAGCAATATCACGGCGGGGACACCAGAAATGGGCTTCACATACTGTACCCATGTCGGGATTCGAACCTGGGTCCTTGGCGTGACGAGCGAAAGCTTTAACCACTGGGCTACCCGACCGCCTTCCCTGGATATAAACATGGGAACGGTACAATTGTGGTAACATAAGGTGAAGCCTCTGTCTGTCCTAGAGCATCACCAAATCCTCCAGGCCAATGATTAGTGCATCAAATTCACTTTCCACACAAGCCCTGGCCCCGTTCCACAAAGCGATCGTAACTACAATCATTTTAGAGACTAACTTCGATTTTAAAATCGTCTTAGCTTAGGTTTACACCCATTCCACAAAACGATCTTAGGGTGATTGTAACTTTAAGCCGATCTTAACAAAGATTGGAATCTTCAGCCATGAAGATACAAAAGTTTCCCTTAGAGTAGCCTCCCTTGGTCTTGTTTAGCAGACGACGCATTTCCTTGCACATCATAATAAAAGTCGCAATATTTGTTGTTATGGTACAATATTTAAGATCAATTTTAGCAATCCTAAGTTGGTCTGGAGCTACTTAGCATTTTGATCTTAACTTACAACTCTCTTAGTTAAGATTGCTTTGTGGAACGGGCGGCTGATCGTAACAAAAATTTAAGATCGCATACTTAGTGAGTTACAATCAACTTAGCCCTAAGATCACTTTGTGGAACGGGGCCCTGGTGCTCATGTAAATCAAGTACAATGCAGGTGAGCGAGACACCGTTGTATGAAGTGAATGAATATCAGGATACAGTTGTACTACACATGTTCCGCAATACAAATGCTGATTGGACCAAAACCTGAAGCTGTGTTTCCCCCATATTCTTAGTTTAGATCACGTTGATAGGTAACATTCCTACAAGGGACTGGTTTCATGTTTATCTTCATCAATTAAATTTGGTCACACCTGACATGATACAAATTGCTGATTTTGAAAAACAACAACCAATTATCATGTAATTCTTACAGCTGTTATGGGGGCGGTCGGGTAGCCCAGTGGTTAAAGCGTTCGCTCGTCACGCCGAAGACCCGGGTTCGATTCCCGACATGGGTACAATGTGTGAAGCCCATTTCTGGTGTCCCCCGCCGTGATATTGCTGGAATATTGCTAAAAGCGGCGTAAAACCATACTCACTCACTCACTCACTACAGCTGTTATGATCATTTATTTTGGCAATCCCTTGATGATATCATCTTATTATATAATCAAAAACTTGCAACCAATTATATATGCCTGATTGCTATGGGTGTATAATAATGTTGCTCTTTTTGCATAATCTTATATTTTGTTGCATATTGTATATACATTTCAGTTTCTATATAATTTAACAATACAATTTGATTTCATCATGTGTGTAAAATGGATAAAGTGAATCAATTAAACAATAAATGAAAGGAGGACAAGAATGGTTAAAAAGGATATCCAGTCTAGAGCTTAAACTTGCTGCACCTTGTGCAATGATATTATATTGATATAATCGTTGCTCTTGTTTGTTTACCACAAATTGAACTGTAGATAACAGAAAAGTGTTGTTTACTTCAGCCCTGATGTTAGACACATGACGCTGCTATCTAGTCTGTCATACAGACCCTGAAACAAATATATCCAATACAGCCCATGCAAGTCTATAATGTTTGGCAAGTCTAGATTTCTGCAGTATCTGAAAATGAAGAGAGTTTCTGGGCTCCTTTTTATTATATTTTTATTAACAACTATTTCTTTTTTTCTGTAAGATATGTTCATTTCAGAGACTAGGTGTTAGTCTAACTGCACAGACTCATGCTTGGGTTCCCAACTCCATACTTTGATGTCGAGAACTAGAGAAAGAAAGCTCACTGTAAAGGGACTTTTTAAACTTAAAAGTTTAAAGGTTGAAAGGGAAGTTCTTCAGAGCAGGGGGCACAGCTGGCCCAGTCGTCTAAGGCGCTGAGATTAGCTGTGCAGAGTTGCGTCCCTTGGACACGCCAGAAACCTATGATTGTGGGTTCAATCCTGGTTCGCCTTGATTATGTTCCTAGGTTTGTCAGCACCATACCCGTGCTTGTGGGTTTCACCGAAGTGGTAAACGTCTGAGACCTGCATCACTTCAGGCTTTCCTCCCACATTAAGCTAACACGCAATTATATGACTGGAATACTGTTAAAAGCGATATTAAAACCAACTCACTCACTCACTCTTCAGAGCAGGATGGCAGGAGGAGCTGTGTCTAAAGAACAAATAGAAGATGCTGGGGTCCATTACTCTGACTGCTTAAGGCTGTAGGATAAGTTGATAAAGTGCAGGGAGGAATATAAGAAAGTGCTTGATGAATCTGAGATTTTTATCTGGAATGTTCTGTTGAAGATACAGTTTTACAAAGCTTTACACGTTCAGCTGGAGAGTATGGTCAGCTTCAAAGGAGTGAATCTGCCCTGAGAAATAAATATAGTCAAAGTTAAAACTGTTACAATAGTGTTGTTGCTCCTGTAGACAAGCTATGTCTCGTTATAGATGTTAACGCGGCAATGTGAACTTTCAAAAGCATTGAGCCAGGTTTCCTTCTGTGAAAGTTGACTTTCTGCAGAGTGATTCTAAGACTTTAATTTTCAATTATTCAACTGCATTTTGAATGATTTGGCCATATTATTAGCTCACTGCGTCCGAAAGACCAAGATGAGCTTATGCGATACCATGGCGTCCGGCATCCGTTCGTCAACAATTTATTCAAACTACTTCTTCTTCTGAACCACTAATTGGAAATTAGCGAAATTTGACTGGAAGCATCCCTAGGTGGTGGGGATTCAAACTGTACAAATGGTGAGGCTGACCCCCCAGGTGCTGAGGGGAAGGGCCAAATAGGGGTAATTTGGCTATATTGCTTTAAACGACTTCTTTTCTGGCGCTAAGAGATACATATCAACCATATTTGGTTGGAAGCATCCCTAGGTGGTGGGGATTCAAAATTGTACAAATGGAGGGGCGGGGCCAAATAGGGGTAATTTGGCTATATTACCTTAAATGACTTCCTCTCTGGAACTAAGAGATATTTATCAACCATATTTGGTTGGAAGCATTCTCAAATGGTGGGGATTCCAACTGGAGAAATGGAGGGGCTGAACCCTACCCCCATCCCCAGGGACTAAGGGATGGGGCTAAAAAGAGATTATAACTTGGACACAGTTAAGATCCCCACCGTATAACCTTATGTTGGTTGGTTGGTTTGTTGTTTAACACCGCACTCAGCAATATTCCAGCTCTATGACGGCGGTCTATAAATAATCGAGTCTGGACCAGACAATCCAGTGATTGATATCATGAACATCAATCCACTCAGTTGGGATTGATGACCATCCCATCCCGTTAGTCGCCTCTTACGACAAGCATAGTCGCCTTTTACGGCATGTATGGGTTGCTGAAGACCTATTCTACCCTGGATCTTCACGTGTGTATTATGTACAATTGAGAGTATAATGAGAGGAGTGCACATATGGCCCTTCTGTTCATCTGTCTGTTCAAAGGAGTTAGAAGATATTATCGCCACCCTATAATAAACAGATACATTGTATACATTTGTTTGCTATGAAGCGAATAATACCTTTGCATGATATGATTTATCCTGGATCATAACATGGAAACGGATCATATCTTTATGCAACATTTGTATGTAGAGAAATACACGTTCATGCTGTCAGATTTGTCATCCACCCATTATAAATGCTGACAGAGTCAAGATTACGAAATATTTGCAGTATTATATACATGTACAATGCAAATGTATATTTTGTCACGATTGCGTAAATAACCAGGTGAGCGATACAGGCCCTATAGGCCTCTTGTTTTAATTTGTGATAATTGTTTCCTTTGATACTCCACAATTAGGAGGCCGGTATGAAGTTTTGACTCAGATTTTTTGTGGCAGATTGGATTAGGTGAGTGTTTAGGGTAAGAAGGGTTAATCTGTTTGCTGTGTCTACTTTAGCTCCGGCAGTTGATGTCTCTTTTCGGAAGGTCCGGGGTTCTATCCCCGGCCGCGTCATACCAAAAGACGTTAAAAGATGGTACTTGTTGTTACCCTGTCTGGCGCTTACCATGAAGGGGCTAAGACAAGGACTGGTCAGCTCGGAGTCAGTATACTATGTCTGAGTGGGGTATTCATGTTAAACTGCGGCATGGTATCTCAGTGAGCTAGCACTAAAAAATCGGCATCAGTCCGGACTAGTACAAGCAGCCACACAAACACAAACACATACACGTACAGGCACGTCGCTATATAAGTGCAATAATCTAGGACGGACGTTAAACCCCATTTCACCTCACCTCAGCTCACCTCACCTCACCTCACCTCACCTCACCTCACCTCACCTCACCTCACCTCACCTGATGTCTCTTTTAGTACACTGTACTGTATTAAGATAAAGGAGATAATTTGGGTTATAGTTTGGTAAAGCAAAAGGCCTGTGCTTTTCATGCACAGAGGAGCATGTAGCTGGCATGGCAGCAGGCTTACTTGTTCAGCCAACAATTCAAGTTTAAAGATAAGGGAAAACAGTAATGGTGAGTTGTCACATGCAGAATACATATTATTAAGGCTTTTGTAAACTTTGAGTTTTAACATACAGTTTATGACAGGCACATTTTTCTCTATGGTAACCTTTTAAATGTTTGTTTTAAGCTAATAAAAGTATAATTTAGTTCATTTTTTGTTTATAAAGCATAAGTGAGTATCTTCAGCTTTGTCATAATTTAAAGTTGGAAAAGTTTTGAATATTTTGTTTATTTATTTTTTCAGTTATTTATTTCGTCAATCTGTTGGTACGGCAAAATATGTTTAAGAAAGAATAAGAATATGAGATTGTGAAGAAGAGTGAGTGAGTTGGGTTTAATGCCACTTTTACCACTTCGATGAAACCCACAAGCACGGGTATGGTGCTGACAAACCCAGAAACATAATCGGGGTGAACCGGGATTGAACCCACAATCATAGGTTTCTGGCATGCCCAAGGGACGCAACTCTGCACAGCGAATCGCAGCGCTTTAGACGACTGTGCCACCCATGCCCCCTTGTGAAGAAGAATAAAGATCTTGAACCCCAAGAAGTTGTTGGTTCTACACCTAATTCAATCTGTCATATCAATATCTGTCAATACTGAACAATTATCAAGTAGGCCATACGGGGATAGCAAGTAACGCAACGTATTGACTTGGCATTCAATATAGATACTTATTTTATTTTTAACTTTATTTGATTTATATTGGTATTTTATTTTTTTTTAAATAAATTACCAACTACAGTTTCTTGGACATAAAGATATGTAGATAAGTAGATCTGAGTGTGTGTTGCCGCTTGTACTAGTCCGGACTGATGCCGATTTATAATGATAGCTCACTGAGATACCATGCCGGAGTTTAACATGAATACCCCAGTCAGACACAGTATACTGACTCCGAGCCAACCAGTCCTTGTTTAGGCCCCTAAATGTAAGCGCCAGGCAGAGTAACAACAAGTACCATTTATTAATCTTTGGTATGATGCAGCTGGGGATCAAGCCCTGGACCTTCCACTCTCGGGGCAGATGCTCTACCTCTAGACCACGGAGGTGGTGAATGCATCAAAGGAAAATCAGAGGGTATCATCAATGTGCTGAAGTTTAAGGTTGAAATTACACTACAGCAAAGATCTGACTGGACTGCAGTCCCAGTGTCTAAAATAATTTTGTAAGATGAAATACAAAATCTGAGGTTTATTTTCTTGTCACATGTGTTCCAAATGCATTAGAATAAAAGGAATCATTTTATCGCTCCAATTCGATTCCCAACATTAATATTGACCTATTCCTACTTTGCAGGCCAGTTTCAGCTTCAAGAAGCTATGGGCGTTCACCGGGCCCGGCTTCTTAATGAGCATTGCTTATCTAGATCCTGGCAACATCGAGTCCGACCTGCAGTCAGGGGCCATTGCAAAGTACAAGGTAATGTCTTAAAGGAAATAACTTGAATTGAGGAAATGACTGCACAGTGTTTACTGAACAGTTTCTGATAATGTTGACATTGTGAGAAAATGTTACAGCTAAGCATGGATGGAGTGTTTGAGTAAGATATGGGTCTGAAACAGGATAACAGTTATTGTAAATATGTGGTGAAAGCCCTAAGTAATGAAGAACACAGTGGGGAATTTACTTATGTAATTAATTTGTGGTATGCATTTGCTTGGAACATGACCAGAGTTATCCCTTTACTTGAGAGTTATCTCCCTTTGTAAATACTGAATGGCGATGGGTTGGTTTATAGGCGATTGCAGGCAAACAAAACATTAAATCTGAGGTTAAACATGATTAGGAGTGGACGAGACCTTTAGTAATACTGAATGGCGATGGGTTGGTTTATAGGCGATTGCAGGCAATCAAAACATATTGAATCTGAGGTTAAACATGATTAGGAGTGGATGAGACCTTTGTAAAAACTGAATGGCGATGGGTTGGTTTATAGGCGATTGCAGGCAATCAAAACATTAAATCTTAGGTTAAACATGATTAGGAATGGATGAGACCTTTGTAAAAACTGAATGGCGATGGGTTGGTTTATAGGCGATTGCAGGCAATCAAAACATTAAATCTTAGGTTAAACATGATTAGGAATGGATGAGACCTTTGTAAAAACTGAATGGCGATGGGTCGGTTTATAGGCGATTGCAGGCAATCAAAACATATTGAATCTGAGGTTAAACATGATTAGGAGTGGATGAGACCTTTGTAAAAACTGAATGGCGATGGGTTGGTTTATAGGCGATTGCAGGCAATCAAAACATTAAATCTTAGGTTAAACATGATTAGGAATGGATGAGACCTTTGTAAAAACTGAATGGCGATGGGTTGGTTTATAGGCGATTGCAGGCAATCAAAACATTAAATCTTAGGTTAAACATGATTAGGAATGGATGAGACCTTTGTAAAAACTGAATGGCGATGGGTTGGTTTATAGGCGATTGCAGGCAATCAAAACATTAAATCTTAGGTTAAACATGATTAGGAATGGATGAGACCTTTGTAAAAACTGAATGGCGATGGGTCGGTTTATAGGCGATTGCAGGCAATCAAAACATATTGAATCTGAGGAGAAAACATGATTAGGAATGGATCAGAACAGGCAGGAAAATGTTGGGAAGCATATAGCATAACATACAACCATCAGGTTGCAAAGGGATTGACTTGAGGTCGGCTGACATTTTAAAGGATATGGTTAAGGATCAGATTAATGAAGAAATAAATAGAAATAATTAAATAATTGTCTGAGAAGAAACAAAAATCATCCACGCTCTAGGTGCCATGAACATGATTGTTGTCTGACAGACAGCAAGTCAAGGGAAGGCTCCTGCGTAGGAAATAGTCAGGAAGATGTGCTCACACTCTTGACCACAGGTGTATCAGACAGGTTACAAGATGTGCTCACACTGTTGACCACAGGTGTATCAGACAGGTTACAAGATGTGCTCACACTGTTGACCACAGGTGTATCAGACAGTTTACAAGATGTGCTCAATCTGTTGGCCACAGGTGTATCAGACAGTTTACAAGATGTGCTCACACTGTTGACCACAGGTGTATCAGACTGTTTACAAGATGTGCTCACACTGTTGACCACAGGTGTATCAGACAGTTTACAAGCTGTGCTCGCACTGTTGACCACAGGTGTATCAGACTGTTTACAAGATGTGCTCACACTGCTGACCACAGGTGTATCAGACTGTTTACAAGATGCACTCACACTGTTGACCACAGGTGTATCAGACAGTTTACAAGATGTGCTCACACTGTTGGCCACAGGTATATCAGACAGTTTACAAGATGTGATCACACTGTTGACCACAGGTGTATCAGACAGTTTACAAGATGTGCTCACACTGTTGACCACAGGTGTATCAGACTGTTTACAAGATGTGCTCACACTGTTGACCACAGGTGTATCAGACTGTTTACAAGATGTGCTCACACTGTTGACCACAGGTGTATCAGACAGTTTACAAGATGTGCTCACACTGTTGACCACAGGTGTATCAGACAGTTTACAAGATGTGCTCACACTGTTGACCACAGGTGTATCAGACAGTTTACAAGATGTGCTCACACTGTTGGCCATGGGTGTATCAGACAGTTTACAAGATGTGCTCACACTGTTGACCACAGGTGTATCTGACAGTTTACAAGATGTGCTCACACTGTTGACCACAGGTGTATCAGACAGTTTACAAGATGTGCTCACACTGTTGGCCACAGGTGTATCAGACAGTTTACAAGATGTGCTCACACTGTTGACCACAGGTGTATCAGACAGTTTACAAGATGTGCTCACACTGTTGACCACGGGTGTATCAGACAGTTAACAAGATGTGCTTACACTGTTGACCACAGGTGTATCAGACAGTTAACAAGATGTGCTCACACTGTTGGCCACGGGTGTATCAGACAGTTTACAAGATGTGCTCACACTGTTGACCACAGGTGTATCAGACTGTTTACAAGATGTGCTCACACTGTTGACCACAGGTGTATCAGACTGTTTACAAGATGTGCTCACACTGTTGACCACAGGTGTATCAGACAGTTTACAAGATGTGCTCAATCTGTTGACCACAGGTGTATCAGACAGTTTACAAGATGTGCTCACACTGTTGGCCACAGGTGTATCAGACAGTTTACAAGATGTGCTCACACTGTTGACCACAGGTGTATCAGACAGTTTACAAGATGTGCTCACACTGTTGACCACGGGTGTATCAGACAGTTAACAAGATGTGCTTACACTGTTGACCACAGGTGTATCAGACAGTTAACAAGATGTGCTCACACTGTTGGCCACGGGTGTATCAGACAGTTTACAAGATGTGCTCACACTGTTGACCACAGGTGTATCAGACTGTTTACAAGATGTGCTCACACTGTTGACCACAGGTGTATCAGACTGTTTACAAGATGTGCTCACACTGTTGACCACAGGTGTATCAGACAGTTTACAAGATGTGCTCAATCTGTTGACCACAGGTGTATCAGACAGTTTACAAGATGTGCTCACACTGTTGACCACAGGTGTATCAGACAGTTTACAAGATGTGCTCACACTGTTGACCACGGGTGTATCAGACAGTTAACAAGATGTGCTCACACTGTTGACCACAGGTGTATCAGACTGTTTACAAGATGTGCTCACACTGCTGACCACAGGTGTATCAGACAGGTTACAACCTGCTGGGATGCATTGGTGAAATTGTGAAATTTCTGACCAGGCATTCATTCCCCATTCACTCACTCACACACTTCACTCGTTCACTCACTACCACACTGATTCCACTCACTCACTCACTCACTCACTCACACTTACACTGTGTCTGTATTTCTGTAAGAGAGTACATATAAAGTATGTTTGTTGTTGCAGCTGTTGTGGGTGTTGATGTGGTCAACGGTGATGGGGTTGGTGCTGCAGCTGCTGGCGGCCAGACTGGGATGTGTGACAGGCAAGACACTGCTCATCCCGGTGTTACTCTAGTCTCAGTCTTCATTATCATCCCATCACATTTAACTCCTGTAGGTTATGAGAACAAGCTGCATCAGACTGGGTGCCTGTTCACTTCACATGCTTGTCCCGACCAATAATGACACCCCAATGTTTTCAAGAGGTTTTAATCTGATTTTCAATATGGTCGCCATGGTCAAGGGTTCGATTCCCAGCCGTGTCATACCAAAAGACGTTAAAACGTGGCACTTGTTGTTACCCTGCCTGGACTTGGCATTAAGGGGCTAAAACAAGGACTGGTCAGCTCAGGGTCAGTATACTGTGTTCATGTTAAACTGTGGCATAGTATCTCCGTGGGCTTGCACTACAAAACTGGCATAAGTCCGGACTTGTACAAGTCAGTCAAGTGAATGCACACTATATACATGTAAGTGCAATAATCTTGGACATGACATTAAACCCCATTTCACCTCACCTTACCTATACGTGAATTTTTAGTGATATATATTCTGCATATTTCCTAGGTATGAACTTGGCGGAGATTTGTCGACATGAATACCCTAAAGCTCCACGTATAGTGCTGTGGCTGATGACAGAGTTGGCCATTATAGGAAGTGACATTCAGGAGGTCATCGGATCAGCCATTGCCATCAACCTCCTGTCCAATCACAAGCAAGTATTTGTTGCTTCGTACAGGATATCAGATTGTAGAAATTATTGTGCTATGTGGTTCTCATGGTAAAAGAAAGGTTTCATTATCCTTAAAAATGGCATTAAAAAAAGATCTGATTATTGAACTACATGGAGTAAATGTATCGCTGATATGTATTACCATACATCCATCCTTTAGTTCTTCCATTAGTCAGTCTGCCCATCCTTCCATCTGTTGTCTGTCCATCCTTCCATCTGTTGTCTGTTGTCTGTCCATCCTTCCATCTGTTGTCTGTCTGTTGTCTGTCCATCCTTCCATCTGTTGTCTGTCCATCCTTCCATCTGTTGTCTGCCCATCCTTCCATCTGTTGTCTGTCCATCCTTCCATCTGTTGTCTGCCCATCCTTCCATCTGTTGTCTGTCCATCCTTCCATCTGTTGTCTGTTGTCTGTCAATCCTTCCATCTGTTGTCTGTTGCCTGTCAATCCTTCCATCTGTTGACTGTCTGTTGTCTGTCCATCCTTCCATCTGTTGTCTGTCTGTTGTCTGTCCATCCTTCCATCTGTTGTCTGTCCATCCTTCCATCTGTTGTCTGCCCATCCTTCCATCTGTTGTCTGCCCATCCTTCCATCTGTTGTCTGTTGTCTGTCCATCCTTCCATCTGTTGTCTGTCTGTTGTCTGTCCATCCTTCCATCTGTTGTCTGTCCATCCTTCCATCTGTTGTCTGTCCATCCTTCCATCTGTTGTCTGCCCATCCTTCCATCTGTTGTCTGTCCATCCTTCCATCTGTTGTCTGTTGTCTGTCAATCCTTCCATCTGTTGTCTGTTGCCTGTCAATCCTTCCATCTGTTGACTGTCTGTTGTCTGTCCATCCTTCCATCTGTTGTCTGTCTGTTGTCTGTCCATCCTTCCATCTGTTGTCTGTCCATCCTTCCATCTGTTGTCTGTCTGTTGTCTGTCCATCCTTCCATCTGTTGTCTGCCCATCCTTCCATCTGTTGTCTGCCCATCCTTCCATCTGTTGTCTGTTGTCTGTCCATCCTTCCATCTGTTGTCTGTCTGTTGTCTGTCCATCCTTCCATCTGTTGTCTGTCCATCCTTCCATCTGTTGTCTGCCCATCCTTCCATCTGTTGTCTGTCCATCCTTCCATCTGTTGTCTGCCCATCCTTCCATCTGTTGTCTGTCCATCCTTCCATCTGTTGTCTGTTGTCTGTCAATCCTTCCATCTGTTGTCTGTTGCCTGTCAATCCTTCCATCTGTTGACTGTCTGTTGTCTGTCCATCCTTCCATCTGTTGTCTGTTGTCTGTCAATCCTTCCATCTGTTGTCTGTCTGTTGTCTGTCCATCCTACCATCTGTTGTCTGTCCATCCTTCCATCTGTTGTCTGTTGTCTGTCCATCCTTCCATCTGTTGTCTGTTGTCTGTCAATCCTTCCATCTGTTGTCTGTCTGTTGTCTGTCCATCCTACCATCTGTTGTCTGTCCATCCTTCCATCTGTTGTCTGTTGTCTGTCCATCCTTCCATCTGTTGTCTGCCCACTGACCCAATACAAATTCAGAAACACCTCAACCTATGTCTCCCAAATCTTCAAAAGATGAACCTCTAGTGTTAAGTACAACAAATGTGCATCATTACATCATATCAGAGCATGTTCCTCTTAAGGGAGATTCTGTTGTCTGATGCCAGTCTGTGTGTACAGAATCCCGATCTGGGCAGGTGTGTTGATCACCGGTGTCGACACCTTCACCTTCCTCTTCCTGGAAAATGCCGGGCTCCGCAAACTGGAGGCCCTGTTTGGAGCTTTCATCACAACAATGGCTGCCTCTTTCCTGTATATGGTAAGTAGTTGCTGGAAAAAAAAGAGTAATGTCACAGTTGCGCATTAGTATCTACTGTTATAACCATTATGACCTGATGCATGGTATGAGCATTTGTGATCGATGAAGACCCGTAAGAGGCGACTATGCACTTGTCGTAAGAAGCGACTATGCTTGTCGTAAGAGGCGACTATGCTTGTCGTAAGAGGCGATTATGCTTGTCGTAAGAAGCAACTATGCTTGTCGTAAGAGGCGACTATGCTTGTCGTAAGAGGTGACTAACAGGAATTGGTGGTCAGGGTCACTGACTTGGTTGATGGATGTCATCGTATACCATGATGTTAATCACTGGATTATTGGGTCCAGACTCGATTAGTAACAGACCACCATCATAGAACTGGAATACTGCTGAGGGCGGCGTTAAACAACAAACAAACAAAAACAAAATCAATATAAAGAGCTGACAACATCTCCATAGGAGGTCGCATCAGGGGAACCTGGAGCAAACTCTGACCACCCAATTTTAATGATCACGTGCCAGATATCAGTTTTCTAAAACTTCATTTGTATACCATCTCGATTTGGAAATTTTGATTAGTACAAAAGAAAATCCACCCAGAACACAAATATTCTTTCTATGAACCCTTTTGGGTGGAGAGGACATGGCACTCTGAAACAACAAAATAATGTCCTGCATTTACTGTCCAAATTCATTGATTGGTTCATTTTCGAGGTACAGAAATCAGATATGCTTCACTCGCTTGTACCAAAAATTTAGAAGCCTCTTCACTGACAGGCCTTTGGAGGTGTTGTCAAGTCTTCACTAAGGAGGTATCATAGCCTTGATATTGTATTATTGCTGAGGCATGCAACATTCACTGACTGTACCTCCTGTCTTGCAGTACATCAAGATCAAGCCGGACCAGCTGGAGATCCTACAGGGTCTCTGGTTTCCATGGTGCCAGGACTGTGACAAGGACGCCATCCAACAGCTGGTGGGAATCGTCGGCGCCGTCATCATGCCACACAACATCTACCTGCACAGCGCTCTAGTACTGGTCAGTGGCATGTTATAGGTGTCTACTTGTATTGAGGGTGTCGGCGCCGTCATCATGCCACACAACATCTACCTGCATAGCGCTCTAGTACTGGTCAGTGGCATGTTATAGATGTCTACTTATATTGAGGGTGGGAATTGTTGGCGCCTTCATCATGCCACACAACATCTACCTGCACAGCGCTCTAGTACTGGTCAGTGGCATGTTATAGGTGTCTCCTTGCAGGGTATGAAACTCCCAAACATTTTAGCCAGACCACAGGACTGGCTAGCTGAAATACTTGCCAGCCCTGACCAAAACCTGCCTGCCCACTATAATCATATGTTTCTCAGGATAAGCTAGCGGGATTTCTTTTTGGTTACATTTTATCATTCATCTTTACATGTGAATTAATGATTATCATCGGGAATTATTTAGAATATTGTCACATATGAAATATAACCCGACCGTCGGGCAGGGGGATTTGAAAATCTGGCAGCCCGAGTTGAAATCAACCCGTCTCGGACGGTCGGGCAGGCAGGTATTTCGAACACTGCTCCTTGTATTGAGGGTGTCGGCGCCGTCATCATGCCACACATCATCTACCTGCACAGCGTTCTAGTACTGGTCAGTGACGTGTTATAGGTGTCTACTTGTATTGAGGGTGGGCATTGTTGGCGCCGTCATCATGCCACACAACATCTACCTACACAGCTCTCTAGTACTGGTCAGTGGCATGTTATAGGTGTCTACTTTTATTGAGGGTGGGAATTGTTGGCGCCGTCATCATGCCACTCAACATCTACCTGCACAGCTCTCTAGTACTGGTCAGTGGCATGTTATAGGTGTCTCCTTGTATTGAGGGTGTTGGCGCCGTCATCATGCCACACAATATCTACCTGCACAGCGCTCTAGTACTGGTCAGTGGCATGTTATAGGTGTATACTTGTATTGAGGGTGTTGGCGCCATCATCATGCCACACAATATCTACCTGCACAGCGCTCTAGTACTGGTAAATCACTCACTCACTCTTGAAAAGACTGCATATTATGGAAACATTCAATATCCTTAATATGTTTAGTTTGATGTTTTTTCAATAGCTAAATACAACATTTATACAATCCTGTTCTCCACATTTCATTCCAGTCCAGAAGTATAGATCGGAGCAACAAAAACAACGTGAAAGAGGCCAACATGTATTATGCTATTGAATCAGGTTGGTTTATAGAATGTTTAATTTTTTTAATAGTTTTCCTCTTTTCAACTGAAGAGTTCCTGGTAATGATGATGGCCCGCTGCCCTGTACTTCGGTTAATCCAGCATACGGCCCTAAAGATGCAACAAACATTATTCTAATGCAAGTTTACCAATTACATCTTCCAGAGGCAAGGGAGTTAACTGACTATAAAAGTCAGTTTCCACCCTTGCCGAACTTGGCCAGAATTTCTGGGTTTGATTGTTGTGCCACCAGTGGCTATTACGAGTTATGTTCCTTCTATGTCCCTCCTATTGACCAATCAGATTCCACCTCTGATATCACTGATATACCTCTTGATTAAAAATGTGAAAGGGTTTGGAAAATATCGGTTGACAGTATACATGCTTTGCAAATCCTGCAGTCTTCCGAAATCTGCACGGCAGTTTACAAACTGGAGGTTGATTTCGTTACTCGATTTTGATTGGACTATGCATAGGCTCGTTGGTCCAGCCAAAATATCACTCCATAATTGCAGCCTAGTACAGCAAGGGTGGAAACTTTGGACTTTTATAGTCCATTAACTCCCTTGCCTTGCGAAGATCGCCAATTAAGGCGATGCTAAAGGATATATTTCCCAAAATGCAAGCACATGTGTATCTTGTGCATTGAGAAGGAATGTGAGAGATCAAGGACAGATAACTCTAATTTGTAACCAAGGGCTACCAGCACCCCAGATGTTGAAGAGGTTCCGTGTCATATGATGGAAGTGAAGAAGGAAATTGCAATGTTGTCTCAGGATAATTATCATGAATATCCAAATTGAAGGGATATTGTTTTTCTTTCAGCCATTGCTCTGTTTTTGTCTTTCCTCATCAACCTATTTGTGGTGGCCGTGTTCGCTGCGGCCTTCTCTGACCCCAAGTATGCAGCCAACGCAAGTCTACGCCAAGCTGTAGGTACTTCTCGAGTAACGATGTAATACACTGAGCACTTCAGCATGCATTATCATATACATGGCGGCCATGGCGGAACCAGCCCATTTAACTCGGAATGTTTTACAAATTGCTGCACCATTTGGCATTCTTTATCGTCACTGTGTCCTTTTGCAGTATAGTGTCCTTTTTGTACACTGACGTTCTTTTAGTACAGGTCGTAAATATTAATATCATTAGTCAAATGTTACGAAAAGACGTCATAGGAAAGAAAAAACAATGTGTTCGAAAGAACATCAGTGAGCACGAAAGGACGTTGACAATAAAGAACGTCAGTGAGCACGAAAGGACGTTGACAATAAAGAACACCAGATGGCGCCAAATTGCAGCGCCATTTGGCATTCTTTATTGTCAACATCCTTTCGTGCTCACTGACGTTCTTTTGTACACATTGTTCTTTCTTTTCTTATGACATCTTTTCGTAACATTTGACTATTAATATTGTGTACTTTTGACCTTTATATCAACTTTTATGTTTTAACCGGCGTCTCATTGTTTTGTATTTTGACCATTATTAGTAACATTTAGTTCTTTATTCGTAATATTTGACCTTTATTGTGTACTTTTGTCCCTTTTTTTTAACTTTGTATTTTTTAACCGAATGGCCGCCCATACATTGGTATTGTTTTGTATTTTGAATTCATTATTCGAATGTTAATAATGACCTTTATTTGAAACATTCATTCTTTTTTCGTAACATTTGACTATTATTGCGTACATTTGTCCTTTATTGCAACTTTGTATTTCTTGACCGAATGGCCACCCATAGTTGGGACCCAGTTGTTTTATTTGATGGTTTATATCTTTTTACTATTAGCTAGTGTTGGCTGAAACAAAAATTATATTAAATGTTGCACAATGCATTTTTGTATTTTATTTGGCCTGAAATAGTTTGTGTCAATTGATTTAGTCAGAAAAAATGAATGCTAAAAGTGCAGTATGTTTGACATTTTAGCAGTAACATATATACATAGAACATGTATAAGCTATTATGCATGAAGTGGTTATATTGTTTGAGTACATTGAAAGAATGAAACTTGCTGTGCAGATCAGTCTAGTGGTGAACTGGTGCCTTTTGATGATTTGGGATTTTTTGCACTAGATATGTCATCTCCTGATGACTCTTGTTCAGAATGTAATAAAATTTGGTATTTGTTTAACTTCAACTGATATGTTCCATTTATTGTATTATTTGACATTTTGACCTTGTTTTCACATGCACTAAAATTGTCTCTAAAAGCATATTTAGCTGAGGCAAATTTGGCATGTATGCTTCTGGTTCGAATCATTAGATTTTAGTGTTGATTTGTATGCAGAAATGTTTTGATTGTCAATGCTGACAGCAATTGTTTTTATGTATCTGTCTTTGTTGACAACTGTTGACTATCCAGGAGAGCTACAGTATACAGTGCCCCAATTGGTTAACCTCACTTGGTCGAACTATATTCTGTAAAACGTGAAATTAATGCGTCTCCAAAAGAATGCGACCGGATTTATATCTTAACAAAATGTCCTCTGTCAGGTTTACAGGACAATCCTCACCTTCATCCAACCTTACATTAATCTAATCACACACCAAATAGCACCGCTTATTAGCACTGAGTAGAGTACTTCAGCTAAAACAATACGTGCACGCTGGCTCGTGTCGGCCTTTGATGCAGTCGCAAAGAGCAAAGATACCGTGTTGGGTGGCGTCTGTCTGGACTTGCAGGTGTGATCAGTGATGACATGAGTGAGTAGAACGCTTGTTTTGACCCCAGCAGTTCACGGGATGTAATTAGTGTTTGAATGACATTGTTTATATACTAGTTACAAGTGCTGCTCAATAAACATTGATGTGGAATACATAGTTGTTTGTTTTCAGCGTATGTCTAAGTTGGTATTTCTGCTATCCAAAATATTTTATTGTTGATATAAATGCGATGTTTAATAATGTGAGTAAAGACCACTCGCATTTTTCGCATTTAATTCACACTCGCGTTAATTTCACGTTTTACAGTAGCTAATATAACAGACTTTACAATGTTTTATTTCTTTGTTTGTTGTTTAACACGGACTCGGCAACATTCCAGCTGTTTGATGTTCCAATGTATCAAGACTAAGACAATGTATTGAGACCAAGCACCTGTTGTTTCCAGGGTGACTGGATTGCTGCCAACTATGGTCTTGGTATGAAGATTATCTGGGGTATCGGGGTGTTGGCAGCAGGTCAGAGTTCAACCATGACTGTGAGTCATTGCCTTTGTTATCAGGATAGGAATACCCTGAACATTTTACAGTGAAATATCATAAGGTTAAGATCAAAGACTCTACCAGGGCCCACTTGCTCAAAACGATCTTAGCACTAAGACTATTGTAAGCCTATGTTAAAGTATTGGAGTTAAGATCATCTTAGCGCTAAGATCACTTTGTGCAAGTGGGCCCAGGGCATAAACTGGTGCATTATGATGGTGCTGGTCACTGCATCATCATGAAAGAAACTATCTACATCATAGCACTTCCTCCAGAAACCTACTGTGCAGTCAGCTTATTTTCAAATGATTGATTTACATTTGAAACCACTAAATTGAAAACAGCTAGGGCCAATAGTTTTTTCTCTAAGATGAATTGTTTCAGCATACCATAAATTGATGCAGTAAGATAATTTATATTCTTTAAATCTGAGAATTATGTCACTGAAACAACGAAATATTATTTTGGTGCTGTCAGTCAGAAGAGAATGAGCAGGAACTTGGCACTCAGGCAATATAACTACATGCCATGTGCTATGGGACTCATGCATGGTCAGCTGCATTTAACAGAAAATCTCGAAACATTGGAATTTTGTTTGAGAAAAGGGGTAAAAATGTTAAGATTAAGAATCACAGTATTTGTAAACAATGTATCATAACACTCACCTGTTGATCATTGATAATGTTTTCCTTACTATTTCAGGGAACATATGCTGGTCAGTTTGTGATGGAGGTAAGAAATGGTCTTATACATTATAAGTTGTATCAGGATCACGAGGGGTATATTGGGTTTTATGTGTCACGCGTTAGGTTTTACACAATGAGCCAGAGGCTCTTACCACAACGAATTTATCTTACCGACATGTTCTAATATGAAATTGTAAAATAATTCAAACACATTCAAAATTGATAGAAAACAGCTGTTCGATTGAGCGGAGGTTAGCTTGTGCTATGTCACGTGACTTTTGACTTTTTATTCTGCCTCTCAGAAATCCATGTGAAGCCTGTCTAGCTCGTGGCGGGGTATAAGGGATTTATTCTGCCTCTCAGAAATCCACGTGCAGCCTGTCTAGCTCATGGCGGGGTATTCAGGATTTATTCTGCCTCTCAGAAATCCATGTGCAGTTTGTCTAGCTCATGGCGGGGAATAAGGGATTAATTTTGCCTCTCAGAAATCCACGTGCAGCCTGTCTAGCTCATGGCGGGGTATTGGGGATTTATTCTGCCTCTCAGAAATCCACGTGCAGCCTGTCTAGCTCATGGCGGGGTATAAGGGATTAATTTTAGCCTCTCAGAAATCCATGTGAAGCCTGTCTAGCTCATGGCTGGGTATTGGGGATTTATTCTGCCTCTCATAATCCACGTGCAGTCTGTCTAGCTCAGTGCAGGGTATAAGGGATTAATTTTGCCTCTCAGAAATCCACGTGCAGCCTGTCTAGCTCATGGCGGGGTATAAGGGATTTATTCTGCCTCGTAGAAATCCATGTGCAGCTTGTCTAGCTCGTGGCGGGGTGTAAGGGATTAATTTTGCCTCTCAGAAATCCACGTGAAGCCTGTCTAGCTCATGGCGGGGTATTGGGGATTTATTCTGCCTCTCAGAAATCCATGTGCAGCCTGTCTAGCTTGTGGTGGGGAATAAGGGATTTATTCTGCCTCTCAGAAATCCACGTGCGGCCTGTCTAGCTCATTGCGGGGTATTGGGGATTTATTCTGCCTCTCAGAAAACAAAGTGAAGCCTGTCTAGCTCATGGAGGGGTATAAGGGATTTATTCTGCCTCTCAGAAATCCATGTGCAGCTTGTCTAGCTCGTGGCAGGGTGTAAGGGATTAATTTTGCCTCTCAGAAATCCACGTGAAGCCTGTCTAGCTCATGGCGGGGTATTGGGGATTTATTCTGCCTCTCAGAAATCCATGTGAAGCCTGTCTAGCTCATGGCTGGGTATAAGGGATTTATTCTGCCTCTCAGAAATCCATGTGCAGCCTGTCTAGCTTGTGGTGGGGAATAAGGGATTTATTCTGCCTCTCAGAAATCCACGTGCAGCCTGTCTAGCTCATGGCGGGGTATTGGGGATTTATTCTGCCTCTCAGAAATCCACCTGCAGCCTGTCTAGCTCATGGCGGGGTATAAGGGATTAATTTTAGCCTCTCAGAAATCCATGTGCAGCTTGTCTAGCTCTTGGCTGGGTATTGGGGATTTATTCTGCCTCTCATAATCCACGTGCAGTCTGTCTAGCTCAGTGCGGGGTATAAGGGATTAATTTTGCCTCTCAGAAATCCACTTGCAGCCTGTCTAGCTCATGGCGGGGTATAAGGGATTTATTCTGCCTCTCAGAAATCCATGTGCAGCTTGTCTAGCTCGTGGTGGGGTGTAAGGGATTAATTTTGCCTCTCAGAAATCCACGTGAAGCCAGTCTAGCTCATGGCGGGGTATTGGGGATTTATTCTGCCTCTCAGAAATCCATGTGAAGCCTGTCTAGCTCATGGATGGGTATAAGGGATTTATTCTGCCTCTCAGAAATCCATGTGAAGCCTGTCTAGCTTGTGGTGGGGAATAAGGGATTTATTCTGCCTCTCAAAAATCCACGTGAAGCCTGTCTAGCTCGTGGTGGGGAATAAGGCATTTATTCTGCCTCTCAGAAATCCATGTGAAGCCTGTCTAGCTCATGACAGGGTATAAGGTATATATTCTTCCGCTGAGAAACTTATTTCCCTCCAAGGCGGGATATTTGTATTTTATCAAGGTCATGTAAACCAATCAGATCATGTCATTCTGAAGTTGGTATGACAAGGGATATACACATGTATGTAATAGGTGGGGACATAGGGAACACTATCCCAAGTAGTTATCACGACAGGTTATTGCAAAACTTTGTAAATATTACTCTCTTTTTTAAATCATTTAGAATTAAATCATGAATCAATACATTGTGTGTTGCATCATCAGGTTTAAATTTGTGATGCATCATTTCATCACTAAGATTTGTATGTGTATATTCTGCATATAATTTGGTTTTGTTTCGGGTAGGGATTTCTGGGAATTCGTTGGCAAAAATGGAAGCGGGTGTTGGTAACTCGGTCAATAGCAATGGTGCCCACCATCATCGTCGCCTTGCTGGCGACAACCCAGCTGGACCAACTCAACAACTGGCTCAATGTCCTACAGAGTGTGCAGCTGCCATTTGCATTATTACCCATACTGCACTTCACCAGCAGCTCAAGGATTATGGAAAGCTTCAAGAATGGGAGGTAATTGAAATGATACTGATACACTCGTGAATAGTGGGCATACAACTAATGTTATTTCTATGAATAAATTTGCTAAAATTATTTCTCATGGTTGATTTAGACTGTATATGAAATGTGAAAACTGTGAGAAAGTTACAAAACTGAATATATGGAAGACATTTAGATACATTTTTATGTGCATTATCATGTTTTCACAATTATAAAAATCTTGTTTGTTAAAGAGTGCTGCAAATGGTTGTGTGGATACTAGCATTACTAGTGATGGGCATTAACCTGTACCTTATCTACTTGTTTGTGGTAAGTAGAAAGTGATAGCAATTCACTGTATTGCGAACTTGTCAAATACATTCATGTAATATTACAAGAAAATCAATTATGTTCATTTGAAACATTAGCTTAAAAAGTGATAACTTGGACATATTGAAACATATCCCTGTGACCTCATGTCATATGAACTCCACTCTATTGTTATGATCTTGTCAAGTATATATACAATTTTGATTTAAAGGTATCTTGGAATGTAAATGTTTTATCAATTAATTATATTAGCTTCAGTTGTTACTTTAAGAGCAGGTAAACATCCAATAACAATATTTTTATTCGTAACACTAAATCCCTGATTTTGCTTACTTATTTAAAATTCAAGAAGAGAATTTATGGATGTCAACTTCTTTATTATAATAAAGAAGTTGACATCCATAAATTCTCTTCCTTATGTGTATCACTTCTAAATGCCTTTCAAATTTATTAAAATGACATCCTTTACTCTGATACAATAGGTGAACTTTCTGATCAGCCAATCAGCATAAAGCTTCTAAATTCTCTGACAATGAGCAAAACATTCAGACAAGCATATCTGACTTCTCTTAGTGAAGATGTGAGGACACATCCGTAGAAGGTCGTTTCAGGGGAATGTTCTCATCAGCCTATCAGTGTCGAAGATTCAAAGTCCTCATACGACACACTCCGTCGCAGTGGTGACTCAGCATAACACCACTGCCACAGGCTAATTTGCATATCACGTGACCGGACTTTTCTCTTGTTTGTAAACAAACGCGCTTTTTCAGAAATCAGTATAGAACGGACTAATGCAAGTATTTGGGGGCGCTTTACATATTGTGTTGCATAACTAATATAGATATGCTACTACAACTGCGACAGTGAGTTGCATGACAATATATATTTATGCATTAAAGTGACCGTGTCACAAGCTCTCCGTTGGGCTTCGATGACAGCACGTGGAGCCGTACAACCAATGTAAACATAGGATAACTACGCAAAAACAAGTAGATTTTTACGTATTTGCATACTTTCTCAATGAAAGTTAACCATTCTTTGACATTTGTTTATGAAAATGTGTAGACTTGTCAAACATGAAACGGATGAAAAGCATATGCAGTATCTTGAATGGACTGTGAAAGATGTGACGAATCGTCACATGGCGCTGGCCTGTGGCAGAGGTACTATGCTAGCTGGCTGCCGGCCGCATGGAACTCTGGGTAGGAGAGTGCTCATACGAGTGAGCTAGTCTTTCAGACTAAAACAAACTAAAGCAACTAGTTCTGAATGTAGATGAAGAAGGTCATGACACTCTATTGTGATTTTTTTATACACCCTGTCTCCTCAGAGTGCCATGCCATGCACCCTACAGGTCCTACTATCCTTTTACAAAGATGACATTTGATTGGCTCAAGAACCAATGCATGCTTCATTTTGTTTGGGCAGTCAAAGGTCTATTAGGGTTCACCTGACACAACCTCATATGGAAATGTTGACAGATCTTCACGTTGAGAGGAATCATATCAGAGTAAAGCATCTGATTTTAGTTATATTGATGTATACGTTTCCTATTTCCAGGGCACCAACCAGCGCTGGTACATCTATGTTGTGGTGGCACTAGTGATCCTGGTGTACCTCACATATGTCCTGTATTTGGTAAGTGTTTAACATGCCAGATTGTGCCCTTAAGGTGGTATGCGTATTTTGGAATGCAGATCCGATCTTTTATTCACATCTAGATCATGGATCCATCCAATATATCAGTCTGTGAGACCTACAAGTCTGGCTTAACATTGCAACATATTCAGATACTTTTTCAAGTAAAAGAAACAAAAGATGGAATTACTTTTAATTTTCACCTTTTCTACCAATCATAATTTTTTTCACCAAAATATCTATAAATCAAGAATTGACAGAGTCTTGCTTGATAAGGGCAAATATAGGAAACAAATTAGTAAATTATTACACATTTTGAAGATAAATGGGTTGTCTTGGGACTAAAAGATGATCCTTGAAATGTGGACATCAGTGGATGTCCAATCACTGAATTTATACAAATGAATTAATTTTCAAAATTTCTTTTTTCAGGCATTAGGTTTGCAAGTATATTCATTGTTAAAGGTAAGTTCTTCATCAGTATGAGCACAGACTTGTATAAGCTTAAATAGGTCCGTGGTATGAGCAGACATGTTGGATGATGGCTGGCCTGTTACTGTGGACCGGAACTAGCAGAAGCCTGAATGTCTTGCTGCTCTAGGAATAGACAAGGCCTTTTAGAAAGTTGTCAAATGAAACATATGGTAGTCTAGATCAGTTGTCAGACTTCCATTTTTGTGGAAACCTTGGTGGCTGAGTGGGTTAGATCGCTGACTTTGTGTGCTGGCGATTCTGTGCCGTACTCTGAGAGTGTGGGTTCGAATCACGAATGGGACTCCATCCAAAAAGTATTAATGTTTGTTTTTTACTGAGAAAGTGTAATTCCAAATATGACACATGTTACTGGGTGTTTTAGTTATCCGACAGTATACTATCAATCTGATCTGCTTCACAAGAGGACAAGGTTTGATGAGGGCCCTGTTTGACTTACTAGAAATGTCAATTTTAAAAGATATGGAAAACTTTGAAATATGTGTATGAACCTGATCAGACATGTATAAATGTCTGATATCTCTAGCCCCTTCCTTTCTGGCGTGATCAGGTAGCTTTCATCAAGTACTTACTGAAAACACATGTTAGCCTTGTCGATACATTGAGTTCTGTTACAAGTGAAATACAAGTGCTGATATTAGTGAAGTGTAGTTCTCATTTATATGAACACATCCAATAACAAAGTTGTTAAAGTCTTGCTCATTGCTTAAATTATACAGATTCTGTGGGTGAAAAGGGACCTTTGTCTCATTCCTACCAAATACCTTCTACAGTATGTTCCCTTAGGGATTGTGGGGCAGGATAGGTTCCCAGCATGTTATGTTTGACATAAGAGGCAACTAAAATATAGATTTGGTTATTACAATGTATGACCTGGCTGACTGTGTCATCGTGCCCCAACAGTATGGGCCGTTGTTCATACTATCAACCACTGGGTGCCTGGACCAGGCTTAATTATTTCCAAGCCATGATATATACCTCAAATAGTATTAAGGTATTTAACTTGCACACTCTGATGAGCTGACCTGATCATGTGCTCATGGTGGAACTCCCAATGTCAAATATTGTTGTTCATCACTTTGAGATAAGGGAGATAACCCCAGTCTGGTGGTGGAACTCACAATGTCAAGTATTGCTGTGCTCATCAACTTTGAAATAAGGGAGATAACCCCAGTCAGGTGGTGGAACTCACAATGTCAAGTATTGCTGTGCTCATCAACTTTGAGATAAAGGAGATAACCCCAATCTCGTGGTTGAACTCCCAATGTCATTACTGTGCTCATCAACTTTGAGATAAGGGAGATAACTCCAGTCTGGTGGTGGAACTCACAATGTCAAGTATTGCTGTGCTCATCAACTTTGAGATAAGGGAGATAACTTCAGTCTAGTGACAATGTCAAGTATAACTGTGCTCTTCACTTTGATTAAGGGAGATGACTCCAGTCTGGTGGTGGAACTCACGATGTCAAGTATTACTGTGCTCTTCACTTTGACGTAAGGGAGATAACTCCAGTCTGGTGGTTGTTCTGACCCAGCATCATGCTCCTTTCTCACACTATCAGCTATGATCTGTCTGCTTCAGGGACAGAAAAATGCTGGTCCAATAGTCAAGTCCTAGTGAAAAATAGTCAGGACAAGTACAAAAGTTGATCTGACTGACTAAAAATATATTATGTCAGGCTTTTAATTTGGTTTATCTCTAAAATGAAAATGGGGCACTATTGCAAGAATATTTGCCGCAGGAATTACGATTATCTTGTACTTTGAGTACCAGTGTCTTGGGGACCAGTGATGATCAATGGGCCTCACCTGAAATAAATTTGTGACAGCCTGCCAGCTCTGATTATTCTTAGCAGGTCGCCCTGATATAGCTGTAATAAGACTAATACATCTGCCGATAGAGAAACACCCATTCGTTCGCCCACTCATTCTACCGTTATGAGGAAACTGAACAACCAGTGTCATAACCAGGTCACTAGGATAAACATGCTATGTTTTCCTGCTAGGAAGACAATATGAATTTCAGGATGGAAATATGAACATGTGTTCAAGTAAATTGATATCACCAAGCAAATAAAATATCTTAAAATTTATATATTTGATTGTTTAATTGATGTCACAGGGCATGAGTGGCCCAGTAGTGTAAGACCCTGTATTTCAATATTTAGAGTAGTGTCCCTTGTCCATGCAAGGATTTGATGGTTCTGCGTTAGAATCTCTGAACCCTTGGTATCACCATGGAAAACAGACTTCTGGCTTCCCCCTCCATTAAGTTGACCCTAATGTTGTGATATAGCTGAAATTCTCTTTCAAATTTACTCCCAACTGATGGCTCCCTCAATCAAGATCTGACAAATCTCCATAGGAGTTGAACTTTCTGAAATGTTAGGCTCCATGTCTTTACCATGTCTTTCCCCAGTTGGGAATTTACAGTCTAAACAAAGGAGAGGTGAAATGGTGGTTACATTGCGTTCAAGATTATTGCACTTATATAGTATGGTACAGAAAGAGGTGTGTGTGTGTGTGTGGTGTGTGGTGTGTGGTGTGTGTGTGGGGGGGGCTGCTTGTACTTGTTTTATCAGTTTTATAGTGCTAGCTCACTGAGATACCATGCTGCAGTTTAACATAGACACCCAGACTAGTTGTATTCTCTGACCATTTGTTTTATCCAACCAGTTGGTTTTATCCAACCAGATGGTTTTATCCCCATAATGCCAAGCACTAGTCATAGTCACAACACGTACCATCTTTTAACGTCTTTTGGTATGGGATCGAACCACCAACCTTCCACTCTCCAGGCAGACTATGAGGCAGTCAAACAAAAGAGAACCACATGAGACACAAATATCCCCTCAATAGTACGCGGCGTGACCTCCTACGGGGGCTTATTCAGGTCTTATCAATTTGGAGTGAAGGAGCTGATTTTGATAAAAACGCAACTCTTTCACTGTCTATATTCTTTTTCAGATGAAGCTGATGTCCAAATTAGGCATCAATACAGAGGTGTGCCTGAGTGAGCACCTGCAGCGAGAAAATCTCCGTTATCCAATCAGAAGCCCCGTTGAAAACACTAATGAGAGTGACCCTCCGAGTGGAGTCCGATCATATGGTTATGGATCTTTTTGATAACTGTCAACTCTAAGTAAATTAATTAAATATTTTTTATACAAACTACTGTCCACCTATTGTTTTCCATGCATATTTGTTTGTATGTATCATTGTATTTGACTTTATTATGTAATGGGTTGGCCTTTTCTTTCTTTCAAAGCTGCCACCACAGAGATTAATACTGGTAAAAATAGTCCAGTGTGTAAGATATTTGTCCAACTCTGAATATTATGATATTAGCCTATAGATAAATTCTGTGTTCAAATATTGGAAAATGAAGTTTGATATTTCAGAAAGCATGAAATCACAGAGCTGTCTCTAATGAGGTTGCCAACCCCCCCCCCCCCCCCCCTCTCTCGGCATCCGGCATATCACTTAATTTGTCTTAAATATTTTATTGATTTGTCACTCTTTGCAAAATAAAGTACGAAAAATAAATTTCAACATCCGTAGGATAGATAACATTGCATGGCATCCAGCATATTGCACTGCAGGATCCGGAATACCACATAACAGGGCTGGCACCAGCATCCTAAAAGGGGGTCGGCACCTTCTCTGATGTAACACTGTAATGGGATCTTGGCCATTTTCATTATAGTACTACCGTATTTGACGTAATAAGCGCCCAGGGCGCTCTCAAAATTAGAAATAGGGGGCTCTTATTAGAATATTATTTTGGTGGGAAAAAAACAGTTGAAAGATAAATTTCGTGGTTTATGGTGACAGACCTGAAATTTTTATGTATGAACGATATATTTTTCCAGAATTTAATTGGCCATGATTAAGGGTGCATATAACACACGAGTGTGCATATACGCGAATAAATAAGTCTTGTGTACATTGATCATTCGGAAGGGGTGCTAATTAGGATTGTTTACTAGCCAATATATCAGCAAATATCGCCGTGGGCGCTTATTACGTCGAAATTGGGTAACTCCATGCTGGTGATGTAGAAGTGTTGTTTGTTTCACCAAAAGCTATCAGGCAGCCCCAGCCGAATAACTGTAATGTGTCCATTTTAAAGAGCCGCATTTGTTCACATCTTCTTGAATATCAAATAATTTTGTAGAAGTTTCATGACAAATATTTCAGCTATCATACAATACTCGGTAAACTCAGTTGCATATTCATTTAGTCATGGAACTTTGTTCCATAGCCTTTTGCTGATCATGTTGACAGCAAGTATCTGCAGATGCAACATTATGCAAGGAATATGCATCACTATGCTAAAAATGTATTTCCTCGATTTAACGCCGGGCCTCGAATAAATGCTGGGTAGTTTTTATGCCCGGAATTCTGCAATTTGATCACCATTGCCGCTGTTGATGTTTTTCTGATACCTACTACAAAGAGACTATTGATGACTATTAGATGGTATTCTTCCATGGAATTGTTTTGGCACAAGTCATGGAAAGGTCACAAGATAATTTACCCAAAAGTTTGTGGGGACAAAGGTATTCATAAATTTGTCTTTATATGCTTAGAATATACTTCAAGACATATTATATATGTATTTATCTTTACACATTCTACACAGGAATAAATTATTGTTGGTGACATGTCTGTCAAAGTCAAGGTCATCTCTGAGGATATTATGAAGCATCCCTCATTGCCAGTGACTGTCATATGTTTACTTGTGCAACCCTGAGACTTGATAATCCTTGCATCCTAAGAATTTGTCTTGAGTAAGGTCAGGGAGTACTGTTTTTGTAGACTTAAAGAACATGGCATGATAATATTTGGGAACTTTGAGAAAATAGAGGTAAAGGTACTGCTCCTGTTTTATGCAAGTACTGTATCTGCAACCACTTCAAGTGTCTTCTCTACAGGGTGATTTTGTCCTGCAGACATTCTTGTGTTAGTTCTTGTTATTATTTATTATAGCTCAGACTAGTTAGAAAGTATAAGTATGATAATTATTCAAGATGACTGTGATTATTGAATACTAGAAAATCATCATTTTGTGAAATAATTTTGCTCAAATTTAGTGTGTTAAATAGATAAGATGGATGAATGTGTTACTTGCCAAAACTGTGATGCTTCTATTCATGTCAATCAACATCTTGTGATGTAAAACATTTCCTGCTATCCAGCTGTATATAATCTATAATGACTACAAGTCAAGGACAGAGTCTGCCTCAGATTATTTACCTTTCTTATTGTAGCACAATGTTGCTTTATTTCCATTGCATATTTATTCTGTGAGATATGCATTAGGCCAATAAGATAAGTATTATGTTCCTGGTCCCTGCCCATGTCAATTTTACCCTGCCCCCTGTCGGACCTTCTTTTGGGATTTTTAACCAAGGGCAAGTAACTCTAACCTGCTTTCCCCAAAACCAATGTACAAACTGCACATAATGCACAACGTCTCTTGTGTCTGTGCCGGTTGCGTGGGGGTGGGGTGATTATGAGGCAATAGGGCCTTGTCAAGTGCAGTCACTATTTATAGTCGCTCTTTCCTGTATGATTTTGTAAACATTCCAGATTATCATTGTATCATTGTTCTAGGCACCTGTTGTGGTAGAACCAGGATTTGGTTGGGATCATATTCTGGGTGTAAATTGTTTAGATTCAACAGGAGTCAGAGAGTTTCAACGAATGATAATGAAACTTACAGTTCATGTTTTTACTTTGTTCATGACAACTAACACCATCAGCCAGGACATTCAAGGAAGTGAGGTGACATGGGGATTATTGTCGGTTCAAGATTATTGCACTTCTATAGCTGGACTGGCAGAGGGTTGATACAAGAGCAGATAGTTGTTTTGACAGACAGGCGTCAGTTGAGCATGAACACTGTCACATGCAGTGAAGAAGAAGTATTAATGTTTAGGAAAAGGTTAAACCCCGACAGCATCCACAGTTCCCTGTCCCTCTTGATACAGAAATAAAGAACAAGGACCTTGTTTTTGTTGCATTCAATGATATTCTAACACATACTTCCAGGCTGACAGTTCCTGGAGGCTTAACGTATCTTGTTTGTTTGTTTGTTTGTTTGTTTATTTGTTGCTTTAGATTGAATCCCATGACATACTTGTTCTCATTCAAGAGTGCAGTGGCACCATGGATTTGTTGACTAGTTGACATTTTCAATACATACAATAGTGATGAATCATGGTTTTGATAGAGTAATGTCGCTTTAATGCTGTATTACAGTCCCAAAAAGATCGCCTGGAAGAAGGATTTTCTTGACTTGTGAGGTTTTACTGTATCTGAAGATTTTTATGACAAATATCTATTAAAGCCTATACCTTTTCATGTTGATAGGGGACAATTTAATTCCTCTCTTGAAATCTGGTAATATGATTCTTTGTAAATGAAAGTAACTACATTTAGGAGGCATTTGTGCCATTCCTCACAATTAAATGTCACATTTATGATAAGGCAAGAGAATCATGGAAGAATTCTTGCATTTGTTCAGCTTTTGAACATGGGCCCAAGAATACAAAAATAAAGCTGATTGATCGATAAATTCAGCTGCTACAAAAACATTAACGATGTTTTCAATAACTGCTCGATGAATTAAGCGCCATACACTCAAGTTTTCAGGTAGTAAGGCAAGTAGTGAGATCATGTTATCAAGAAGACTACAAATTAAATTATCATGTTTACTTGCCTTTTTGTTTTAAGTTGATCCTTTCAGAAATCTCTAGGAACCGACTGTGAAAATCTGTATGAATGATAATGAATGTCTGGTTTGTTTGAGTCATTATTAAAAGGAACCCAGCGTCAGGTGTTTAGGGGGGCGGTCGGGTAGCCTAGTGGTTAAAGCGTTCGCTCGTCATGCCGAAGACCCGGGTTCGATTTCCGACATGGGTACAATGTGTGAAGCCCATTTCCGGTGTCCTCCGCCGTGATGTTGCTGGAATATTGCTAAAAGCGGCGTAAAACCATACTCACTCACTCACTCACTCACTCACTCAGATGTTATAGAATGACTGAATCAGATGAACTGGTTCTTTGTGTTTATGACTGCAGTGTCTGTATGTGGGCTGAAACAGTTACTTGGGTGCTCGTGTACGAATTGAGTATTAACACTACTAGAGTAGTTAAAATTATTTCTCAAGTACTAAGAGTTATCTCCCTTGTTCAGTTTATTTACCTCCCTTTCTTTACAGCCATGGGCGAATTTGTTCCAGTTTTACTCTTTACTCTGACATTATTGATATTTGAAAACATGACTGCCATTGTATGACGACAGATATAATAATCTGTCATTCCATTCCTTTTTTTGTTGGTATACCTTTTTTTATTGCAAATTTAGAATATTTGAATACATGTATTTACAGAGGTTACGGAGAAATATTTAACTTTTTTATCATTGCTTATATATGTATGTACAACTATTTATGTATTCAAATGGATTTACATGTATTTACTTAAACACAAATATTATGTTTTTATAGATGAGTGTTACTGAAAGGCAAAATTTGCAAATTTGTGAGTGAGCATTTTCTTCATGTTCATCTACAAATAGTATTCATGTTGGGTGAAAACACTTGAAGGTTTCGAATGTTTCAGTGTCATTACATGTATTTGTTGGCCAATCAGATTTCACAGTCACATTTGGTATTCAGTTTTACAATCTGAGTTGTAGCAGTATCACTAAGGGTACATGTGGTTTTATGCGTCCCACAGTAGGCTTTATACCACTCCCAGCTTGTGGCATAAAACCCAACGTCACTCCCCACTTGTGGCATAAAACCCAACGTTACTCCCCACTCGTGGCATAAAACCTTGTGCCACTACCCACCCGTGGCTAAAAACCTAGTGCCACTCCCCACTCGTGGCATAAAACCTAACATCACTCCCCTCTCGTGGCATAAAACCTAACGCCACTCCATCTTGTGGAAGAAAACCTATTGTCACTCCCCACTCGTGGCTAAAAACCTAACGCCACTCCCCACTCGTGGCATAAAACCTTGTGCCACTCCCAGCTTGTGGCATAAAACCCAAAGTCACTCCCCACTCGTGGCATAAAACCTAGTGCCACTCCCCACTCATGGCATAAAACCTAGTGCCACTCCCCGCTCATGGAATAAAACCTAACATCACTCCCCTCTCATGGCATAAAACCTAACGCCACTCCATCTTGTGGAATAAAACCTAACATCACTCCCCTCTCGTGGCATAAAACCTAACGCCACTCCATCTCGTGGAATAAAACCTAACATCACTCCCCTCTCGTAGCATAAAACCTAGTGCCACTTTCCACTCATGGAATAAAACCTAACATCACTCCCCTCTCGTGGCATAAAACCTAATGCCACTCCATCTCGTGGAAGAAAACCTAATGTCACTCCCCACTCGTGGCATAAAATCTAGTGCCCCTCCCCACTCATGGAATAAAACCTAACATCACTCCCCTCTCGTGGCCTAAAACCTAACACCACTCCATCTCGTGGAAGAAAACCTAATGTCACTCGTAGCATAAAACCTAACATGCTTTCATGACCCTCCCTCACAAATATGTGTATTATTTTTTATGACCCTGCCCTAGAGACTTATATTTTGTTGTAACCCTCCAGATTCCCTCACCCAAGCCTACAATATATGACCGACCCTGAACCATTCGAGTGAGTCTCACTTCAAAACACCTTGCTAGGAGAAGTCAGAAAAAGCAGTATGATCTGTCTTTGTTTTTTTATATTATTGCGCAATGTTTTTGTTTTGTTTTTATGCTGGCCTATCATAGAGGAAATGATTTACAAGATGTTTACTACTGATATTCTTCATATCTGGTTTCATAGTGCCATTAGCTTATACATGATATATTTACTCGGATATAAAACTATTTTTTTATGTGAACTTGTGTCTTTGTTTTCTCTTCCCTACTGCCTGGCTATTGAAATTAGATGCTTGTGTTGCCTAGCTACAAGGATGAAGGCTTGTGTTGCCTAGCTACAAGGATGAAGGCTTGTGTTGCCTAGCTACAAGGATGAAGGCTTGTGTTGCCTAGCTACAAGGATGAAGGCTTGTGTTGCCTAGCTACAAGGATGAAGGCTTGTGTTGCCTAGCTACAAGGGTGGTGGAGGCTTTTGTTGCCTAGCTACAAGGGTGGAGGCTTGTGTTGCCCAACTTCAAGGGTGGAGGCTTGTGTTGCCTAGCTACAAGGATGGAGGCTTGTGTTGCCTAGCTACAAGGTTGGAGGCTTATGTTGCCCAACTTCAAGGGTGGAGGCTTGTGTTGCCCAGCTACAAAGGTGGAGGCTTGTGTTGCCTAGCTACAAGGGTGCAGGCTTGTGTTGCCAAGCTACAAGGGATCCCAGTATCGCAACACTTCAGCATCCAAGTATCCCAGAACCTCACGACCCCAGCACCATGTGCGCTGAAAGAGAAGCCTTAAGAGAATCATGTACCGTAGTTAAGATGTGTAACATGCAGGAGTCGCTGTGCCCGAATGACATGGATCCCTGCTCATTCCATGATCCACTGGTTTGCCTGGCAGTCACTCCAAAATGTGCAAGTTGCCATGACCGAGCTGTAATAATGCTAACTGCAGTGTAAGACCACCTTCACAGGTATCAGTGATCCCATGATGAAAGAAACATAACCTTCTATACATAAACTGATATACAAGCATAACTTGAGTGTAACTGTGTCCCATTGTTTAAGCTGGATAGTGAATGTTTGTGAAAGTGAAAGCTGCCTACAATAGGAACCAAGTGACCAAGCTCTGTCCCTGGCCCTGTGGGACTCCAGCTATAAGTACATAGTCCAGGGGTATGCTGACAAGCTATCAACCAAGTCACTGAGTCTGACCACCTTCGGTCGCCTCTTACAACAAGCATAGGTTGCTGGGGCATCTTTATTTCTGTATAAATTACCACCAAAGACAATAAATAGATCTTAATTGTGCACCCCCCTTTTCAAAAAAGCTGTATCCGCCCATGCACCCCTACATAATAAATGTGTGTACATGAGCATTAATGTGCTTGATTCATTAGTTTGGCTGGATCATGCCTGGACTGTTGACAGTAGCAAAATAATCAGTCCAAATATGTGTCGACAGTCCAGGAAATGGAGATGATGTCACAGTGTTCCCGAGATTAACAAAGCAATTAACAACAGAGTGCGAGATATGTAGTACACATTATATTAATTTATTCAGTCAATATAACAACATGCATATATATCATATGGCCAACATATTTTCATACAATATCACACAAAAAAGTAAAATTTGAGAAATGGATCATTCATAAAGTCCATCCATTTGAATATTTAGCCAAATTAGCCAAGATGCAGCAGCTCTGATGCGTGGTCTGTGTAGTTTAACTCGGTAAGTCTATTGGCAAGAAGATCGGCCTTCAAGGATCAAATCCGAGCATCGATGATGCGGTAGTGACGTCTACGGATTGGATCTCTCTGCTGTCCTTGGATCTGCTGAATTTTTACTTCAGTGACTGATTGTTCTTTCTGCAGCAATCGCACAACCTGAAACACATTCGGATGTTTCTTCATGGCATACCTGTTCAGTCTGTTGTGCTAACCTTCCAAATTATTGTTGGTTCTATGTCTATCATTCTCGACATGATTCCAAGTTGGCAGGTTCCATGCGACTTCTATCCAGGTGGTAGTGACGTAGTCCATCAGCTGTGTAGCCCTGTCATCTTGTGGTGCGTCTGCAATGGCATCAAGCCAGACATCTTCAACTTTGTCAAGTGGCACTAAAGGAAAAGCAGCAGCTCGTCGCACTAGTTTTTTCACACTGTCTTTTGACTTGTAGTCTGTCGCAAGGCCTAGCTTCTGTGTGCAACGCCAGATGCACTGGGTGTAGTGAAAGAAGCACCCACGAAGCTGAGCATTTGGAATCACAACACCAGCTGCATTGTGAGACCCACGTTCAAAGTCCAACTGGAACAACTGGTGACCACATTTTAATTATCTGTTATATATACCCAAATGCTAAATGTTTCAAACAGCATTCCGATAATCCTTCTACTCCTATTATCACATGAAAGAATTACTAAGCTTTCTTTTTCTGTTTCCGTTTTTACTCCTTCTACTGCGGATATTTGATTACATTCTTTTCATGTGAATAACCAAAAGATTAATTTTCCTACTCACATAAGTCAAATATAGTCTCACTCTTCTTAACAATTATTTAAGAAAAATATTCTCTTTAACTTAATCCCTTTACTCATTTTACGAACAGTGGTCATCAGTAATCACTAAGAAAGCATTCTCATCAGTTAATTAACACTGTCACGGTTAAGTGACCACACCATGTCGACAGGCCGGGTAATTTCTTTTGTCGACGGTTAGCAACAACATATTTTTCATGTGTCGACAGATCGGGCTGACACCGTTTGGCTTGCTGTAGTACACTAGATTCACAATTGAATGCGGAACGCGATAATGCGATGAAAGACACAATGAAAGGCTTACAAAAGTGATGAGTAGAGACCACGAGATGGTTACGTAACTTCCGAGGAAACGCGTGCAATGACGCAACGGTAGTAGGTGAAATTGTAAACTTAAGATGATATACCTGCAATCAAAACATTTAGTCGCTAGAACTAAATGTAATTGTTCCCATATTGAATAGTCATTTTTAAAAACTGTATCCTGTATTTACTTTGATAAAACACTTGTTTTTGTTTACAAGATGACATCCAAATACAGAAACGGAAATTGTTAATTTATTACTTATTTTGCAGCTCCTCCATGCCAGCAGTAAACTGACTTCCCTTACAGTTGCTTTCTGTCTTCCCATACTCACTCTACACATAACACTGTCCTTGCAGCCATCGGAAGGTCCATTCAGTGTTCTTACACCAACTTTGCATAAAGTGTTAGTTGATCACTGAATATCACTTGAAGCGGCATAAAACCATGCTCACTCACTCACTCACTCACTCACTCACTCGGTTACTAAGTTACTTTGGAGATTTAACGTGCGCTTTCCGACTGATGCGTATTTCGCACACAGACTTACTCGGTCGTATCACAGACATCCATCAAACTGAGATCAGTGTAATGGCCATATTATCCTAATGTACATGTAAGTTCGAAATATGTGAGAAGTGGTGGGGCAATATTTTTTTCAAGGTATGTTTATGTAATGGAGACTTGTCACACTTAAGGAGAGATTTATGGTTAAAAACAGGAAATGTTTTGGTCACTGTTTGAAGACCTATTAAACAGTGTCACAATCTGTCATCTGTCGACAGGAAGGTGTATCTGGACTTGATACAGAATATTTACTGTTTCCTTTTCCAGTACAGCTCACCAGGAACAGGCGACAAATGTCGAGGAATACTCATCAGTGAACGACACAAATCTCAGGAATGTGTCCAACAGTTTCAAACTGTACGGCATTTGTGAGGAGTGTATGTGTCTGTATGTGCCACAGCACTGAAGCTCCCCTGTTAATGTAGCCAACAGTATGAAATACCAAGAGCAGGGTATGAAACTCCAAAAAAATTCAGCCAGACCACAGGACTGGCTAGCTGAAATACTTGCCAGCCCTGACCAAAACCTGCCTGCCCACTATAATCATATGTTTCTCAGGATAATTTAATTAAAAATATGAAAACTGATTGCTTGTAGCATAAGTGCATCGCTAAATGTTAGGTTGTCTTTTTGGTTACATTTTATCATTCTTCTTTACATGTGAATTAATGCTTATCATCGGGAAATATTTAGAATATTTTCACCTATGAAATATGACCCGACCATCGGGCAGGGGGATTTGAAAATCTGGCAGCCCGAGTTGAAATCAACCCGTCTCGGACGGTCGGGCAGGCAGGTATTTCGAACGCTGCCAAGAGTGAGTGAGTGAGTATGGTTTTACGCCGCTTTTAGCAATATTCCAGCAATATCACGGCGGGGGACACCACAAATGGGCTTCACACATTGTACCCATGTCGGGAATCGAACCCGGGTCTTCGGCGTGACGAGCAAACGCTTTAACCACTAGGCTACCCGACCGCCCCTTTTTAAATACCAAGAAGGAGAGCAGTTTACAAAGTTGCTGTCAGCATTCTATTTAAATATCTTCTACACAAATACTGAGAACTAAAAGTAAAACCAAAATCTAATGATTTGAACAAAATATCATGTGATTATGAGGAGAAACAAACATCCCAAAGTTCAGATCCTTAATTTCCTAGAAGTTGATTTTGAGTGAACACAACAGCATGGTAAAATCAAAGTCAAATTTGACCTATGGAGAAAAACAGAACATATACATCAAGTACCGCAATATATTAACCAAACAAATACCAAATAAAATTCATTTGGTCATAATAGATTTTTTCAATGTGGCTACTGTGGAGGCCATATTGAAATTGGATTCAAAACTATTGAACACATCACTTCATTGATTTAGTTGTCTCTCAGGAGATAATGTTTATAGTGTGAGGAAATGCATTTTTAGAGAACTTATGAGCATGTTTAAAATAGTATTCCAACCTCTTGAACAACCTGGGTGTTATCACTGGTGGGAACAAGTATGTGAAATTTGCAGCCTTATGGGATTAGTGGTTTCTGAGGAGAGGTTTATAACGGACAAACAGGCCATGACTTCAGACCACTTGACTTACAGTCAGGTGAGCTAAAAATGGCACTATTGGTGGTACTGGTACACATTCATTCTGAGTGAGCTGACAGTTGAGTTGCATAAATCATGGGAGTTGTGATGATGATCAGACCACTTTGTTGACCGGGGTTGTGACTGTCACTTTAGCGGCCAATTCCGCCCAAACTCCCTTGGGACTCTGCATCAGTGCATATCCCCAGTACCTCATGCTGGTTTGGTGGGGACCTATATTCTCACCAAGCATCCCTACATGGTACAACCGGTGTAGGTCAATGGGGACCTATATTCTCACCCAGCATCCCAACATGGTACAACCGGCATAGGTCGATGGGGACCTATATTCTCACCCTGCATCCCAACATGGTACAACCGGCATAGGTCGATGGGGACCTATATCCTAACCCAGCATCCCAACATGGTACAACCGGCATAGGTCGATGGGGACCTATATTCTCACCCAGCATCCCAACATGGTACAACCGGCATAGGTCGATGGGGACCTATATTCTCACCCTGCATCCCAACATGGTACAACCGGCATAGGTCGATGGGGACCTATATTCTCACCCTGCATCCCAACATGGTACAACCGGCATAGGTCGATGGGGACCTATATTCTCACCCTGCATCCCAACATGGTACAACCGGCATAGGTCGATGGGGACCTATATTCTCACCCTGCATCCCTACATGGTACAACCGGCATAGGTCAATGGGGACCTTTATACTCACTCTGCATCCCAACATGGTACAACCGGTGTAGGTTGATGGGGACCTATATCCTAACCCAGCATCCCAACATGGTACAACCGGTGTAGGTCAATGGGGACCTTTATACTCACTCTGCATCCCAACATGGTACAACCGGTGTAGGTCAATAGGGACCTTTATACTCACCCTGCATCCCAACATGGTACAACCGGTGTAGGTCGGTGGGGAGCTATATTCTCACCCAGCATCCCTACATGGTACAACCGGTGTAGGTCGGTGGGGACCTATCTTCTCACCCAGCATCCCTACATGGTACAACCGGTGTAGGTCGATGGGGAGCTATATTCTCACCCTGCATCCCAACATGGTACAACCCGTGTCGGTCGATGGGGACCTATATTCTCACCCAGCATACCTACATGGTACAACCGGTGTAGGTCGGTGGGGACCTATCTTCTCACCCAGCATCCCTACATGGTACAACCGGTGTAGGTCGATGGGGAGCTATATTCTCACCCTGCATCCCAACATGGTACAACCGGTGTAGGTCGATGGGGAGCTATATTCTCACCCTGCATCCCAACATGGTACAACCCGTGAAGGTCGATGGGGACCTATATTCTCACCCAGCATACCTACATGGTACAACCGGTGTAGGTCGCTAGGGAGCTATATTCTCACCCAGCATACCTACATGGTACAACCGGTGTAGGTCAATGGGGACCTATATTCTCACCCAGCATCCCAACATGGTACAACCTGTGTAGGTCAATGGGGACCTATATTCTCACCCAGCATCCCTGCATGGTACAACCCGTGTAGGTCAATGGGGACCTATATTCTCACCCAGCATCCCTACATGGTACAACCCGTGTAGGTCGATGGGGACCTATATTCTCACCCAGCATACCTACATGGTACAACCGGTGTAGGTCGATGGGGACCTATATTCTCACCCAGCCTCCCAACATGGTACAACCGGTGTAGGTCGGTGGGGACCTATATTGTCACCCAGCATCCCTACATGGTACAACCGGTGTAGGTCGATGGGGACCCTTTATTCTCACCCTGCATCCCAACATGGTACAACCGGTGTAGGTCGATGGGGACCTATATTCTCACCCAGCATCCCAACATGGTACAACCGGTGTAGGTCAATAGGGACCTATATTCTCACCCAGCCTCCCTACATGGTACAACCGGTGTAGGTCGGTGGGGACCTTTATACTCACTCTGCATCCCAACATGGTACAACCGGTGTAGGTCAATGGGGACCTTTATACTCACTCTGCATCCCAACATGGTACAACCGGTGTAGGTCAATAGGGACCTTTATACTCACCCAGCATACCTACATGGTACAACCGGTGTAGGTCGATGGGCACCTATGTTCTCACCCTGCATCCCAACATGGTACAACCGGTGTAGGTCAATAGGGACCTTTATACTCACTCTGCATCCCAACATGGTACAACCGGTGTAGGTCAATGGAGACCTTTATACTCACTCTGCATCCCAACATGGTACAACCGGTGTAGGTCAATGGGGACCTTTATACTCACTCTGCATCCCAACATGGTACAACCGGTGTAGGTCAATAGGGACCTTTATACTCACCCAGCATCCCTACATGGTACAACCGGTGTAGGTCAATAGGGACCTTTATACTCACTCTGCATCCCAACATGGTACAACCGGTGTAGGTCAATAGGGACCTTTATACTCACCCAGCATACCTACATGGTACAACCGGTGTAGGTCGATGGGCACCTATGTTCTCACCCTGCATCCCAACATGGTACAACCGGTGTAGGTCAATAGGGACCTTTATACTCACCCAGCATACCTACATGGTACAACCGGTGTAGGTCGATGGGCACCTATGTTCTCACACTGCATCCCAACATGGTACAACCGGTGTAGGTCAATAGGGACCTTTATACTCACCCAGCATACCTACATGGTACAACCGGTGTAGGTCGATGGGGACCTATCTTCTCACCCAGCATCCCTACATGGTACAACCGGTGTAGGTTGATGGGGAGCTATATTCTCACCCTGCATCCCAACATGGTACAACCCGTGAAGGTTGATGGGGACCTATATTCTCACCCAGCATCCCAACATGGTACAACCTGTGTAGGTCAATGGGGACCTATATTCTCACCCAGCATCCCTTCATGGTACAACCGGTGTAGGTCAATGGGGACCTATATTCTCACCCAGCATCCCAACATGGTACAACCTGTGTAGGTCAATGGGGACCTATATTCTCACCCAGCATGGTACAACCGGTGTAGGTCAATGGGGACCTATATTCTCACCCAGCATCCCTTCATGGTACAACCCGTGTAGGTCGATGGGGACCTATATTCTCACCCAGCATACCTACATGGTACAACCGGTGTAGGTCGATGGGGACCTATATTCTCACCCAGCCTCCCAACATGGTACAACCGTTGTAGGTCGGTGGGGACCTATATTGTCACCCAGCATCCCTACATGGTACAACCGGTGTAGGTCGATGGGGACCTATATTCTCACCCTGCATCCCAACATGGTACAACCGGTGTAGGTCAATAGGGACCTTTATACTCACCCAGCATCCCTACATGGTACAACCTGTGTAGGTCGCTAGGGAGCTATATTCTCACCCAGCATACCTACATGGTACAACCGGTGTAGGTCAATGGAGACCTATATTCTCACCCAGCATCCCTACATGGTACAACCGGTGTAGGTCGATGGGGACCTATATTCTCACCCAGCATCCCTACATGGTACAACCCGTGTAGGTCGATGGGGACCTATATTCTCACCCAGCATCCCTACATGGTACAACCGGTGTAGGTCAATAGGGACCTTTATTCTCACTCTGCATCCCAACATGGTACAACCGGTGTAGGTCGATGGGGAGCTATATTCTCACCCTGCATCCCAACATGGTACAACCCGTGAAGGTTGATGGGGACCTATATTCTCACCCAGCATCCCTACATGGTACAACCGGTGTAGGTCAATGGGGACCTATATTCTCACCCAGCATCCCTTCATGGTACAACCCGTGTAGGTCGATGGGGACCTATATTCTCACCCAGCATACCTACATGGTACAACCCGTGTAGGTCGATGGGGACCTATATTCTCACCCAGCCTCCCAACATGGTACAACCGGTGTAGGTCGGTGGGGACCTATCTTCTCACCCAGCATCCCTACATGGTACAACCGGTGTAGGTCGATGGGGAGCTATATTCTCACCCAGCCTCCCTTCATGGTACAATCGGTGGGGACCTATATCCTCACCCGGAATCTCATGCTGGTCATCAAGGTGCCATCTGAGGATCAGGTGGGTACAACGGACCCGGATGAGAGTGTGCATTACTGCAGATTGCTGTTCATGCAGTCAGTCACTGGTTTAACTGGCCCAGACACAATTATTTACATGAAACAGCTTGATTAGTGCTGACAGCATCAAACAAACATTCATTCACCCACTCACAGCCTTAAATTTCGTACTTGGCAAAGACAAAAGACATCTGCAACAATGGATTCACAAAAAACGAAACACTTCATACCATTCACAATTTGTTTATTGCCCATGAAGCAAGTATGTCTTATAAGGTAGATCGACAGTGTGAGATGTCAGAAAGACTAACACTTGAACCTGGTTTAATTCAAACAAATTTCAAGCCAAAGCTCATTAAGCTGCTACTGTGTTACTGGTCAGCCAACTTCAGATCACTTGGACCAGTCCATTTGGGCAACAAGGTGTGGATTCTCTATTGAACAGAAATTTATTTGCTACACAACAACTAACCCAAAAAAGATTTCCTGGTTCTCCCTAGAACGAAATAAAATTTAGCACCCCTTCTAATAATAGTCTCTTCCTTCCATTGGAGAGAATAGATATTTATACTGGACCCCTATTTGAAAGTGGACTCTACTTCTATTGGACAAAATGGCCAATTCTCTAAAGTTGGCTTTACAGTGCTTTTGTGGGCAAAAGTGAAAGAAATGGCTTCTACTAAAACTGTCTTAGTATATAATGGTGTAATGATGATGGAAATAATGTCTTGGTGTATCAAAAGCTAGCAAGTGAGAAGTTATTATCAAGGGTGTGGTCAAACGCAATGCCAAGCTGCTCTCTCTATTACAGGTACCATAAAACAAAATGGGGCATCATGTTGACAACAAAATTTCACATTTTGTTAATTGTACATTAATTTCATTTACAGGTAAATAGAATCAGCCTAAATATTAATTCAAAGGAAACAGATATAGATATCAACAGGAAAAAAAAAGAAGTTTACAATTAACTGGTTCTCAGGCAAAATGGGTTGGCTTGTACCGCATTTGGAAACATGGCAGCATATCATGACGGAGGCACCTAGAATTGGCTTCACAAATTGTACCGTACTTATGGAGGTACCATATTCACAGTATTAAGTTCCCAGCTAAAAAAATCGCCCTCCCTAGACCAACTTTGTAACCAATCTTAAGTAGTCTTTATATTACATCACAGTTCTAAATGTCTTTGTTGAATGCAAATCAGAAGCACACAAGGGGATCATAATTACCAAGGATATATTATCAGAAATGTTTTAGTTTCATCAACATTTGAACTAATTCTATTCACTACCACTTGATCTCTGAAAATAAATTTAACTTGTTTGTGGTTTCAATAAATGCCCCTTTTGTAAATTTTCTAACCACCCCAGGCACTTATTACAGCGAATATGGTAAATGAACTTGGGTCTCCAGTGTGACAAGGTAACACTCCAACCAGTATCCACCCCTTAATAAAAGGGGTCAGTTTCTTTATATATGACAAGTCCATCTATGCTAGTGAAATGACATATTGTATAATTTTACCTGAGAACCAAGATAATCAAGATAATTTTTCTCAGTTTTATAAACAAGACAATTTTTTATCAAAAACACAATTTAGCATGCATGTACAAATGTCGACAGTATGTGTCTGCTATTACACAAATGAAATGTAAACATGTAGGTAGAAAATTTGTACAATGGAGTAAACATCAGTAAATATAATACATGACAGTCTACATTTAAAAATTAACTCCTAAAAATACACAAAATATTGAACTCAGTCCCAAAGTAATCTATACAAAATACACAAACTGTTGCACGCCTGAATAGCACTTAGGCAAAACACTGAAAGCACTGTTAATCAACTGATGACATATAGCAGGAGATATGACTGGCTAAATATCACTACACTGAAAACCCCCGTCCCCACACATCCAGCAAACATAGCAATGAAAGAAGCAAGAATCAATCATTCAGTAATAATATGTACTCATTTAATGTACAATATGTATCTGAGGGAGCATCCATTTGATTTCTATGGGGGTGAGTGGTAATATTTTTGTTACAAATAGTTTTGTTCAGAATTATGCCCAAAATTATGTTTGTTGGCAGTGGTGAAATAAATGAATAGTTTTGTGGAAAATACCCGAATGTCAAAATCGTTGCTCTAATTGCAAAAAGATTTTTTGATGGTGCTCAGCAAATAAACAGTTTGCTGGAAACAGCTGAAAAGAAGATACCGGTAGAATCTTCTCAAAATAATTTCCCTTCCCTATAGAAATCAAGTGGATTCTCCCTAATTCAATTCAAAGACAACGATGTTCACCTGATCATGAAAGATCTACCCTCGGTTCAGGTTAGCTAAACAGGCTGAGAATGGCTCAACCAGTGCGAGAAATAGCTCATGCCTGCATTCCAATGGATCTTTATTAAGAAAGTAAACTTCTGTGTAGCTCACCTGACTAGTTAGCCAGACGTACCTGAGCACAGATCAGTCTCTCATCAACAGAAAGGACCACCCAATTTCTTTTCATATTACCATAATAATTCCGTCATGGCAGGGTGTTCCTTATCTTATTTTGAGTAGTATATGATAATGGCAAGTCATAAAGCTGGTGTTTGTGAAAACATTTCTCAAAACAGCCTGAAACTATCTAACGCACTGTACTCAATTAAATTAAATTTAATAAACTGAACTGTTTAACACCAGTTCTTGACCCATTGACAGACGTGTACAAGAGTCTACAGCAACACTACACAGACAGGAGACGGAGAAGCAGGGAGTTTTCAAACAAGCAGCTACAAAGACGACAATAAATAAAACTGATGAAATAGTTACACACGTTTAAAACATCAAATACTGAATCATGATTGGGCAAGTCATAGTAAGAGCACTTAAGAAATGGTCAATAAATAGCAGGATTTGTATCATATAGGGACCAAAATAACTATTGCCATGGAAAATGTTTTTTACTCCTTAATTTCCATACAAATATGGAAAGCATACTGGAGATTGGTAGTCTCAATGCCCGGGATATATATATGCATATCATCATGACATACACCAAACAGTTAGGACAACATCAGTAGCCATTTATGATTTATTTGATAAAGTCATTATTACAATATCATTCAATCATTAAATAGTTTAGTTTATTGCTCTTTTCCTCAAAAGACAGGAATCCTCCAACTGCTGTGTGAAACAGGTAAGAAAGTGAAAGTCAGACATGTGTCTCGTTACACAGATATCTGTTCTGGTAGATCATGTGACATTCACAAACACAACAAGCTTCGAGCATATCTGCAAAATATATTCACTCCCAGAAACTATGAGGACAAATCACTCAAGGTTGTCTATTCATATACCCCCTATCCTAAAGATGCTACACTTCAATGTCAAAATAAACTATAATTTAATTATACACAGAGTATCTGGATATAATGGATGGCCAGTGAAGACAATATACCTAATTTTGGGTTGGACGATGTATGTAAATAGCACATAATATCCTCTGTTTCTTAAAAATAGTAACAGTATTTTATTTAAAGCACAAAAGGTGGACACGTAACCAAGATTGTTTGAGGGTCATTTCTGACAAAAAATAGTTCTCCACACTCATTCACAAAGTTCTATCAGCTACAGAAGCTTCTATTACACACGCTTTAGCACAAACTTGTAGCTCAGTAACCATGGTAACAGATTTAATTAGCCAGAACAAAACTCAACCAGATATAAACTGAGATCAGCAGAAAGTGTTTTCCTAACAACATGAACACTAGAGTAACAGGCATTTTCAACCAGAAACAAAATCATGGCTGGACAGTTAAAGCATAAATAAAATTAACAATTTTTCAAAATATATATCTCTGAAAACACAACCGGCTGGAGACAAGGAGGTAAGATAACAACAGAGTTAGAACTTAACGTGGGCAGCAAGAAATTTAGATGTGCTCACCAGAAGAACGACAAAACGACCGATCTTAAGTTTTCTCGACAAATGAAACAGGAAAGGTTCGGGTGTTTGACATGAGAAAATTTTACGACAAGGTCAAAAGTAGTTCTCTTTTAACAAACATGTGTTACAGAATTAGATGTAGTTTTCTTAAACACAGTGTATGAAACAATTTATATATGGTCATTGCAATGTGATAATTGATCATCACCAGAAACCACCTTCAACTTCAAAGCTCAAAAGAAAGCTTTTGAAACATTTTAGAAACACTTTTGAATTTTCATGTTGCAATTCACAACTACTCACTTGTATTATTTTCCAAAACGTGTCATGAACCGGGATGCTTAACTGTTTCAAGATCAAGGTCATATCAAGATTATACGTAACCATAGTAACTTTTAATATGTAAAAACAGTGCATAATATAGACATCATGGGAAGACTTGACCCACGCCATGTAAGTTACAAACACCCAAATATCATTGTCACTTAACAAATTTATACAGACAAGCTTCGACAGTAACAAATGATAGTAATAAATTCATACCAATGAAAGTCACATTTGAGGCCACAATGATTTAACTACTAGATTTAAAAAAAGAAATATCAGAATGTCAGACAGGAGGTATGGTATTTTTATATTTCATATATTTCCTATTTGCTCCAACTGTCGAGGCACATGTGAACATTAAATGTCAACAGACGTGAATTACATCAAATATTTGTTGGGACCATGTTTTGGCGCATTTCGTGAACTTAACAAATATGAAACCACATAACGTTTTCGTCATCTCTGTTTTAGATGATAAAACATGGAAATCTAATAATTAAACTATTATGGCCGCATACACCTTGGTGTACAAACAGAATACACCAGCGTAACACAAAACAACAATATCCTTGAGTTACTAGTTGGCACTGGGGCTTCCAACCATACAACACAACAGAAGTCGTAACACTGATTGTGACTGCGTGTCGCTTACATCGGAAAGAGATGACCATTGGCACACCTCTCGTGCCGAGTCAGTAGCATGGGCAACTATTGGCAGAACAGGGAGTTATCTAGACCTGCTCAGAGGCCGACATTTGGGCCCAAGTCTGCAGCAAATGTCAGAAAATATTAAGAAATTGGAATTAAAATATTTCCAATTCATGTTAATATTGAACCATACCATGTGACATGTCAACACGTATTTCAATGATATAAAGAGAAAAAGGTTTTAATGCTTAGTTTAACATTATTGATTGTAATGTTAACATACAATGTTAAAAGACCTCTGAACTTCAAAAAACAAATAAAAAATAAAAAATTCCCATTTTGAACGAATAACAAAAAATCCCAATTTGTTTGCTAAGGGCTCTTAGTCTGGAATCCTAGGTAAATCCCTGCTCCATGAATGGAGAATTCATATGGCCACTATGTGGTGTAGCCGCAACTTTCAGCAGCCAAGTCAAGCCATGGATTAGCTTTACATCACCACCTGTCCACATTGCTTTAATGTCAGCAAACACTACGGCTCACAGTGTTCATTCCAGAACATGCCATGAGTAATACACAGCCTCATTGTCTAATCTGACTAAAACCCCACCCGTGTGACTGTTACAGCAGTCATACGCACACATGGGGGATGGAGGAGCCTGGTGCACGGTACTGACGATGACATTAAGTGAGCAAAATACTGAGCCCCCATTCCACCATATTTCATACAGAGTAAAATAGGCAAGAATATTTGAACAATTCGCCACAAAGCTGTAAAAGTACTTCATAGTTGGAATGGTTTGTAAATGTAACTGAATTTCTTTCATTTTCCTAGAAAACTAGAAGACATTGCCAAGTTACTTATCACAGGTGTTCCTGGTTTACAGATCTCAAATCAGTCTGAATCGTGAGCAACTCAACAAAACATAAACCACATAACAACGTCTCAACCGATACTCAGGTAGTTCCAAGTCAAACACAATCTTATCATCAGAATTCTAATCAATCAACGCCTAAAAAGAGTTTGCAACAATGGTTTCTTTGGCTCAAACATCTGTGAAATTAGTGACAGACTTTATCATGACAGGGGGGACAATAAGTTTTCAACATACTGAACCCAGGGAACGAAACCAGCGTGAGGCAGGACAAGCCAACACTCTAACCACTGGGCTAATCCCAGACTCGGCTGGTGTTTATTCTTCCTTATATATTTCGGTGTTTTGGGGTTCATGGAACAGGACAGTGTCTGTAGTAAGGACCTACAGCAGCACATAGGTATCTTCCATAGAACTTGCCCACCTCTGATAATTCCTCATGTATTATTTTTCTCCACAAAAAACATAAGCTCTCTTACGTGAATAAACCTGTATTTTTCTAGGGTTCATAGCGGGTATGTTTTTTCTGAACCCGATTCCAAGACTAAATTCATATTAAATTTATAAATGTATATCTATATTCCCACATAACAAGAGTATGAATGGTCTCAGCACCATATATTCAAGCATACATGAATGAGAAGCTGAAAGTTATGTCATACCACATACACACAAGCAGAAAGTGCTCATCCTAGTTCTACACCCAGGCAGTATATATTAGTAACATACAAAAAATAGAGCACTTATGACTGTATTATTACTGGGGTTGAATGTACAATGCATAGGTGGCTGTGAAAGGCAGGGACGATGGAATGTTAATGGTCATGATGAAGCTGGTAAAATACAAGGGTGCTTTGGCAAGATCATGCAGGCTATCGATGATTAATACAATCAGTATCTACAAACCATGATGCCTGAATTAGGGAATAATCCAGATTGTCATTGGCTTCAATTTTGACACTTTCAGGCATGTATGGTTCAGAAAGTGTTGAAGGCAACATCAGCACTTTGTTTCTGAAATAGCTTTACTCCAAAGCTAAAGTGGCAATATGGAACTAGCTGATATGTAACTTGTGTCCCAGATAGTCAGTTCACTGATTATTGCCTTAAAAGAAAAATAAATGATTCCTCCTTATTAAATACTGAATAGATGTTTAAGCAAGCCTAATTAAATATGGTAAATATTACAAGGACTGGTACACACCAGTGGAGAGTTCTATATACGTACACCAGATGTTACAGTGTGTTCCTTTATGTATGTGTTTATTGAAAGCTATACTCTTCTAACTGACATTATATGCATAATTTACAAGGAAATTTCACACGATGGTTACAGGGAAATAATTACCTTATTATTTATTATGCAAATAATGTGAAACTTTGCCACATGAAGAGCTCTTGAAATCAAATACTCGCCAAAGCACCAATTTTCACCAAATTCAGGTAATTAGGGAATAGTTATTCTATGATTGCATGTCATGATTGATCAAGGATAAGCACCTATATGTCATCAAGATGGCGATTTTTCAACGATTTAATGATGGTCTTAACGACAGCAGCGGCCGCCAGGGAGGCATAGGGCGCCCATTCCTTCCCCTTTGAGCCATCTCGGTAATCAGCGACTCCGCGGACAAACATGAAACTTTCCTTCACATTTCCGCAGATTGAATCTAAAACTTGATCGAATTCTGTATCAAAGGCAGAAATGCCGTACTTTGTTGCAAAGTCTAATTTGGTGGAATCGTTCCTCACAACCCGGGCTCCCGATCCAAACACTCCGAAATGCAACTTCGGTACGTCATGACGAGCAACGATGCCCTCTGGTGGTTCCGGGTGCTGGACTTCTATCACCTGACCCTCACCTACGTTGATGTACAGACGATCAGAAGCTGTTGGCGGGCGGTCGAACTTGGATTCCTGGGCCATTAGGAGGTCTTGACCTTCTTGGATGTACTTCTCCCAAGGGGCATAATCAGGGTTGGCCTGTCGGGATTCATCAATGTTCTCTGCAATCTTTTGTAGGACCAGGTCTCTCGGGGACCAGTTCTTGAGGTTGTAGTGGACCTGACCCTCGCGATCCTGCACAATCTTCTCACAGTAGTAATAGATGTAGCCCTTGTCGTTGCAACGGGAGATGATGACGTCCCCCAGGCGGACATGTTTGCTGTAGTCCGTAACGTGTGGCACACCACCAGCAGCACCCACGACGAACACGTGTTCGATGTTCTGGAATGATCCTGAAATAAAGGATGATGGTTCAGGACTCGCTCAACTTACATGTGAAAACTGTTCATCTCAACAGTACAATTCCTGGCAAAATTGACAGGAATAATAGAATTCTCGAAAAGAACATTAATACAAAGTAAAGTCGCTTTAATCATCAGGATTGGCAACTCTAAAAATTACCATTCCCCCAAAATCTTTGTCAGTCTTAAGAAATAAAAATGTGTATGAAAATTACCTGGTTCTAATTCTTTCAGCATCATGTTCAATGCAATGACGTCATCTTTGAAGTATCTTAGTTAGATCTATACGTCATCCACACACAGTTTACCGTATTCGACGTAATAAGCGCTCCGCTCTAATAAGCGCCCACGGCGATATTCGCTTATAAATTGACCCCTTCAGATTGATCAATGTACACAAGACTTACATATTTGCTTAAAATACACACTCATCTGTTATATGCACACTTAATTATGGGCAATTAAATTCTGGAAAAATATATCAGTCGTACATAAACATTTCTGGCTGCCAGCATAAACCACGAAATTTACCTTTTAACTCTGTTTTTTTCCACTAAAATAATATTCTAATAAGAGCCCCCTATTTCTAATTTTGAGAGCGGCCTGGGCGCTTATTACGTCAAATACGGTAGTCACAATTTTCTCTCTTTTTGTGTGTGAATATTTCGAGAAGAAGTCACTACAAATATATTTTTAACCTCGAAGAAAAGCGAAACGTTATTTCCTTGCACTAAAAATCGACAATAGGAAACCCTGATGGTAACAGACAAGCCGAATTTGTTCGAAAAATATACTTATATGAATATCACTGTTGTTTTTTCAACAACTAAGAATTATAAGGTACTGCCAGTCACATGAAGTACCGGTCCCAGCCTAATTTCCCCGGTAAACGGGAACACTGATCACACACAAACTTTTACAACAGTAATCGGGATCTTCTGGCAATCCACTGTGTACTAAGTGTATGCAGTCAACTCAACACACATGACCCAGTGACACCCCCTACATCAACTCAAGAACCTCTGGGTTCACTTTCAACCAACATATTAAAGTGTACTTTGCTTAACAAACTTGTTCACTCACCAAGAAGTCTGGTCGTGGAATTTCCTGAAGAAATTTGAGCAGCTCTGAAGTGTCCAATAGCTGGAAGTTTGGTGGACACAACCTTGTGCTCTCCGATGTACCCAATGGTGTACACGTTGGATTCACCTGACGGGAGAAATTGTGTGACAAACATTTGAAATGAGAACATGGGAATCTAGATGACAATAAGAGTGAGTGAGTTGGGTTTAACGCCGCCTATAACACTATTCCAGTTATATCGCGGCGTGTCAGCTTACTGTGGGAGGAAAGCCTTAAGTGATGCAGGTCTTAGACGTTTATCACTTCGGTGAAACCCACGAGCACGGGTATGGTGCTGACAAACCTAGAAACATAATCGGGGCGAACCGGGATTCAAACCCACAGATGACAAAAAGAAAAACAAGAACGTCTATGTTTATCCCAGTAGTTAGCATAGGAATATGACGAGCTGCAGCTACTCCAGTTGTTGCCCTAAGTGACATTAAGTTCCCCTCTGACTTGGCATAATGACCGGAACACTAGTTACAACCAATACTACATGATTATACCATAGAGTTAACGTCAGTATTACCGAGATACAAGCGAAAACATAATGTCCCCAACAGTGAGTGAGTGAGTTTGGTTTTACGCCGCTTTTAGCAATATTCCAGCAATATCACGGCGGGGAACACCAGAAATGCGCTTCACACATTGTACCCATGTCGGAAATCGAACACGGGTCTTCGGAGTGACGAGCAAACACTTTTACCACTAGTCTACCCGACACCCCTCTCCCCAAACCAACAGTGACTCACACACAGAGTGAGCAACGAGTGTGCAATATTGCATAGTGACACATTTACTTTCTAAGGCAAAGTAATTTGTCACACAGAGTTGCGTCCCTTAGGTGTGCCAGAAACCTTGATCATGGGTTCAAATCCCCGATTCACACTAATCTTGTTTCACGGTTTGTCAGCACCATCCTCATGGCCTTCTCGAGTGGTAAACACACAAGACCTGCATTACTTTGTGCTTTCCTTCCACATCAAACTGACACTGTCATATAACTGAAATTCTATTTAAACCAGCATCAAAACCAAACTCACTCCCATGTTCCTGAGACGAAGGGAGTTAACTGACTATAAAAGTCCAGTTTCCACCCTTGCCGAACTTCGCTAGAATTATGAAGTTATATCTTGTCTTGAATGGGCGCTGCAATTTTGCTTGAAGCAAATGCATGTGATGTGAGAGGTGGAATCTGATTGGTCACTAGGAGGGACATAGAAGGGACTATTCCAGCCAGGTTTGGCAAGGGTGGAAACTGGACTTCTATAGTCAGTTAACTCCCTTGTGTCAGGAAAATGGCTTACTCCATGTACTTTATATACTGGAGATGGCCTCTGATCCTCTTTATCCTACAACCTGTAGTGGGAGTTTAGGACCTGTCCTGCCCTGAAACCTCACAGCGGGGACAATAATCTCTTGACCTAGTATGTGTTAGAGTGACCTCCCCTTCCACTGACCTTCAGTCTTGTACTTCATGTAGGTGGTCTTGTTCTCCATCATGGCGTCGATGGCAAGCTTCTCACAGTACATAGCGGTTATGATGGCGATGCTGGGCTGCTGGCCGGATGCGATGGTCGGCATCTGTTTCACCATCTTCACCTCTGCAACATACAATGTACGTCATGTGAACCAGTTCCCATACAGTTTGCCCACCAAGGACAGTTAGTTTTAAATCCTGGATAAATCCCTGACATTTCTTCTGGTATCCTATTAACTAAAATCTTATTAACCTTTCTGCATTACTTTCTTTTCAAATTGGCTTAGGTTGGTACAAGCAAAAATTCTTTTCAATAAATAATGTAGGAAATTCACAAGTTGTTTCTTTGTTACTTGTATCCCTCACCTGTCTTCGTATCGAGCACCTGCCTGACAATTCCACCATTTTCCATCTCCTTCACCAGCTCCTTATCGTACAGACCCTTCAGCTGCTCTGTGACCATAATCTCTTCTGAGGCTGTGATTCTGAAGCCAGATTGAGTGAGACATGTCAAAGCAAGTAACCTCCATGCCAGCAGGGGCCGGCGTACATCACGTGACGGTGTGCCACCATGCCAGCAGGGGCTGGCGTACATCACGTGACGGTGTGCCACCATGCCAGCAGGGGCCGGCGTACATCACGTGACGGTGTGCCACCATGCCAGCAGGGGCCGGCGTACATCACGTGACGGTGTGCCACCATGCCAGCAGGGGCTGGCGTACATCACGTGACGGCATGCCACCATGCCAGCAGGGGCCGGCGTACATCACGTGACGGTGTGCCACCATGCCAGCAGGGGCCAGCGTACATCATGTGACACAACACTAACACAACACAAAACACCCCACACCAAACCCGAGTGCCAGCTACTTGCATGACAGAGTTACCTCCCCTCACCCAGCTGTCATGCAGAATTTGTGTTTCATGAAGACTGTTCCTGTGCTATTTAGATAACATTATATCCCAGTTTGATACCACATACGACATCAACATCATGACCTGAGTCATCCACTGTCACCTCATCACAAGATATTCTTTATTATTAATACACATTAATACATCTCATGTCACCCTATTGTTCTAACCATGTATTATTTCCCACAAACAATTTCAGACAACAAGCTGAAACCCCTATCAACATGAAATATACTACTCAAAAGAAGTTAAGGATCACCTGATTCTTTCATATTACAATAGTTAATCTCTCATGCCATGACAGATTAACATTACCAATATGAAAGAATCGGGTGATCCTTAACTTCTTTTGAGTAGTATATTACCCTGGTATTGCGCATCTAGGAGTGATTCATTCCCAACATGCATCAACTTTTGTACCCAGTCATCTAAAACTCCACATGCAACATCCCACTTGCACATTGGCGCCTTGTCCGCATTTAATTATTTGTGTCAAAGAAGGAACCAATAAGCGTGTATTCATGAAACAATACACTTGTGTATTATTTTTCCGAATACATTCTTTTTCATTTCTTCATGACGTGAACAGGCAGGGTTGGCAACAATCTTACACTAGTTAGACACTTCCTGAGGGGTTCTTCATGTAAATGATATAGTAAGTAATTTCAATCAGTTTCCAGATCTTTCATTGGGGTAGACTGAATTCAAGATACTTTCACGATAATTGTGCATTCAGAGTCATTTTAACTTTGGAAAGCCAGCAAGTGTGGGAAAGTGAGTGAGTGAGTGAGTTGGGTTTAACGCCGCTTTTAACATTATTCCAGTTATATCACGGCGTGTCAGCTTAATGTGGGAGGAAAGCCCAAAGTGATGCAGGTCTCAGACGTTTACCACTTCGGTGAAACCCACGAGCAGGGGTATGGTGCTGACAAACCTAGAAACATAATCAGGGTGAACCGGGATTCGAACCCACAATCATAGGTTTCTGGCGTGTCCAGGGGACGCAACTCTGCACAGCGAATCGTGGCGCCTTAGACGACTGGGCCACCCGTGCCCCCGGGGAAAGTGAGTGAGTGAGTTTGGTTAATACTGCTTTGAACACTATTCCAGTTATATGACGGCGTGTCAGTTGAATGTGGGAGGGAAGCGGAAAGTGGGGAAGTGTGGGAAGTGATGCAGCCCTCAGACATTTTCCAATTCAGTAAACCCATGAGCACGGGTATGTTGCAGACAAAACAAACCCATTCAGGGTGAATCTGGAATTGAAACCTCCAATCTTCAGATTTCTGGCATGTCTTAGGCAACTAGGCCATCCCTGTCCCCAACAAGCTGAGACCCCTGTCTACAGAACAACCTCGTGTTGATGCTGATGCCCACTCACCTGACAAGATCCTCCACGGCCAGCACGTTGGGGTAGGCCGACTCCAACACGGTCAGAATCTTCTCACGGACAATCTCCTCCGTCGGCCTCGTGTCTTCTCTCATCAGACCTGCAACATTGCAACAAAACATGTACCACTGACACCAATGCTGATCAGACCGGCTATAACTCCCATTCTGAACACAGAGCTCATAGCCTCTGAGTAACACACAAAACCCTGCCTGGTATTGGCGGTTTATATCCCAGGACAGAACCAAAGGGATAAACTCAGCTATATCTGAAATACATCTTGTTGAAATGTGGGAAGTACAGAAAGATGACTTGATAATAACCCTCCACCATTATAAATGCATCCATGAGAATTGAGTAGACATATTACACACAATATGATGATTCCATGATTACAATTATCAAGCCTGTAGGAACAGTTACAGATTCCTACATAAAACAGTCCTGATTGAGCACAAATTATTTTGAATACCGTTATATATTTTGTTCCTACTTCCCAAATTTCCGGAATAAAACTTGGTCAATATTCAGTATACAGGCACTTTTACAACATCTAACACAACACCAACCACCCCACACCAAACCAGAGTGCCAGCTACTTGCATGACAGAGTTACCTCCCCTCACCCAGCATCCTCCACTATAAACATTTGCTGCAACATTGCAGCAATGTATTTTTTATGTGCAGGTCATTCCTGGTGTGTAGGTGAATGAAGAAGTAGAGTTGTACATGGTAACAATATTCCAGCACTACCCAATGAGTCCTGACCAGACAAGCTAGTAGTTGGTAGTAGTTTTTGCCATCTAATGCCCATATTAGTCAGTACAAGTGAGTGTGTGTGTGTGTGTGTGTGTGTGTGTGTGTGTGTGTGTGTGTGTGTGTGTGTGTGTGTGTGTGTGTGTGTGTGTGTGTGTGTGTCTGCTTGTACTAGTCTAGAAATTGGGTTTAACGTCATGTCCAAGATTATTGCACTTATATAGCGACTTGCATGTACGTGTGTGTACTAGTCTGGACTAATGCCGATTTTATAGTGCTAGCCCACCGAGATACCATGCCGCAGATTAACATGGATACCCCACTCAGACACAGTATACTGACTCTGAGCCGACTAGTCCTTGTTTTAGCCCACTGAGATACCATGCCGCAGATTAACATGGATACCCCACTCAGACACAGTATACTGACTCCGAGCCGACCAGTCCTTGTTTTAGCCCAATGAGATACCATGCCGCAGATTAACATGGATACCCCCCTCAGACACAGTATACTGACTCCGAGCTGACCAGTCCTTGTTTGAAACCCTTAATGCAGAGTGCCAGGCAGGGTAACAACATGTACCATCTTTTAACGTCTTTCGGTATGACGTGGCAGGGGATCGAACCCATGACCTTCCGCTTTCCAGGTAGCCGCTCTACCACTACACCACGGAGGCTGTCTCTGGGACATGGAATGTGACTGTGATGCGATGACCACAGCTGACCAATGCTAATGCCCTGGCAAACATACACCATGAGCAAGATCACATTCTCGGAATTCAATGACACACAAATTATGATACAGCGAAAAGCTGGATCTCCAAAGGTGGTGGTCACCGGTTGCATTTTTAGCCATTTTGGCCACAGGACTCTCAATTTAATCACACATTACATGCACATGGTCTGGGCTAAAGTCGTGGAAACAACTATCTGGATTTTGAGATGCCCCCTGAACAAAATAAGGAAGAACTGAAAAGCCACACAACACAAACTCCCACCCTCAACACAACAACATGCAACTGTCATGCAAACTGAAACCTACAAAAAGGTAGTCATGGCTCAACTAAAACTGAAAACAAAACTATCTGTCACAAAATCATGAAACATTAACCAAAAACTGTGCTATCAACAAAAGGATTTTCGTTTGTCTAACTAAAGGGCATAACAGTGCAGGGAGACATGAGAGAGTAGACAGTACAAACTCCTCACACCACAGAGCTCCACACACCAACAACAACACCAAACACCTACTGGAGTGTGCAATACTCACCAAACCCATCAAACCCTTCTTCTCCTGAGCAGCAGAGGAAACAGTCTCAGTATTAGATATAGTAATAGAAACTGATGTCAACTCTCACCAAGGCGTATTTAGTATTCAAAAAGTGTAAACTCTGGTAAAAGCAACATTGTATTTGAAGATAATAGGAAAAGCTATATTTAAAAGTTATGTCTCTTCAGATATTAAGTTTTAATGTAAGTTTAGAATTATGCAAGAATGGATTTTTAAATTCCGAAATTTTTATTTTAACCTATCTTGAAAACAGCATAATGCAGGTAATGCATGCATATAGGAAAACTCAAAGTCCGGAGGTCAGATATAGAACAAATATGACACCTGATTGGGGTAGATACATTCATAGGTTCACTGAGAAGTCAGCCCTAAAGGGAGACAATCAGGAACACATGGGATCATCAGGGGGCGAACGTAGTAAACAACATTTTTGTGCAATATTCCAGCTTTATAACGGTGGTCTATAAATAATCGAGACCAGAACAGACAATCCAGTGATTGACATTATGAGCATCGCTCTATGCAATTGGGATCGATGACATGCATCAATCAAGTAAGCCAGACTGTTAGTCACCTCTTACGACAAGCATGGGTTACTGAAGACCAATTCAAACCCGGATCTTTACAGGGGTACTATTAGCATGACTGACTTTGGTTTTGACAACAACAACAAAAATGATCTTTTAATTTCAATCTTATTACCAATCCCATCACAAGCTGAAACAAGTGACTGTCAATTGGGTGTAAATGTGACAATGCCTGTAGTGAGGTCAAAAATTAATTTAATTTGCCGATGCTTTTCATGAAGATAAAAAAAGGGGTAATTTAATATATTATTGACATCATAAGCATTGTACCACACCATCAGGGAACGAGTGAGTGAGTATGGTTTTACGCCGCTTTTAGCAATATTCCAGCAATATCACGGCGGGGGACACCAGAATTGGGCTTCACACATTGTACCCATGTCGGGATTCGAACCCGGGTCTTCGGCGTGACGAGCGAACGCTTTAACCACTAGGCTACCCGACCGCCCCTCATCAGGGAACAATGACACGGTATCACCCAGGCCTGGCAGCCTGGATTCGTTACGATCATACTGCAACAAGCAGAGGTCACTAGGGACAAACCCGGAACCCCCACCACCCAATGGATATAATGAAATCATCGTCCTCTCATGAACCTTCAAAGTGATGTGAAAACCGTTACCAAAGTAAATAGAAGAAGTCGTAGGTACTGGTACCCATATTCTTGGGAGTGTAAATTATTTCCCTACTGTGTGAGTTGGTGACAGGACACATGCATGTTGCTGACATTATACCAGAAGGGAAACATACTGCATTCCACTTGTTCATGTTCTAGTAAACAACTAGTAACTAGGGTACTACTTGGATTGTAATCGATCGGTGCATAATTAAAGTGACAAGACAAAACCACTCTACGTGAATGAATAAATGAATGAATGAATGAATGAATGAATGAATGAATGAATGTTCAGTCCTACCAGACTTAATAGGCTTCAACACCAAAATATGTATTAATTCTTTTGAAGGCACACATCACTAAACCATGCACTTAACAACTATCAATAGTGCAAAAGCTATAACAACCAGATTTATCTCAATCAATTAATTAGAAAAACAAAAAGATTGACCTGTTTATCTATAAAAAAACAAAACATTTTCCAAAAATCAACACAATGAACAAATTATAAAACCAAGACATTTTTCTTATGTTTACCAAATTGGAACAATATTCAAGTTTCTCTACCGCCAAATCAAACAAATTTTTTAAACAGAAAACATAAGCCATATATCATGCACCTGGTTGTCATAACAACAGGAAAATAATTAGTATAAAATGATGTCTTGTTAAGTGGGATCCCATCACCTACCTAGCTGGTCCAGCGAGATTGTCCTGCCTTAGTGGCAGAGGCACAGAAAGAAAGAAACACATGTCAACTTGCAGTCTCAGAGTTATTCCCCCTTGTGGGAGACAACATGGCAGTGCAAACCTATTTCTAGATCAGTATTAAGTTTCTACCTGACATTCATGCCAAAGTAAAGATGTGGATAGACAGTGGGACAAGTTCTAGATAGACACAGAGACAGACAGATCTTGACAATACTGACACAAAGTATAAAAAGAATCAATTAATAAGATCTAATTTGTATGCTAAATAAAACCCCTCAACTCATTCTCTGGCAATAGCTAACGTAACATTGTGGTAGGCACTCAGTATTTTGTACATTATAAATCAGAAAGACAATGCTTTCACAAGATTGGTTCTTGCAGATTAGCCAGTACCTGAGAACTAAGATTATTACTTCAGTCCCATGATTCTAATTATTCCTTCAGAAACATTTACTTCATAACAAAAGATTGCACCTGTTTTCCTTTAAGAAACGGAGACAGTTTGATAGAATGCATGCATGAACACTCTGACTTTTAAACTAAGGTTATCTGCTGCAATGACAGAAGATGGAATTTGTCAAGGTGCCTGCTGAGGCAGTCACACCCTGGTGTAACGAGAAGGTCAATAGTCATGCGAAGCAGACGGACTACATTCTGTCAACAGGAATCAAGTGTTTGAGGCCGCCTCTTCTGAAGCATCTTGTGTACTGACGAATGCTCCCTCATCACCATAATCTATTCAAAGTGTTCCCACCTGCTGCCACAGTAACATTCCTGCTGCATGCTGGACGCAATCAACATTCCAACTCGCCCCAGATTGATTTCATGAATTACCATATACAATGCAATCATCTTGACCCGAATAAAGCTACAACAAGTATCAGAAACTTTCCTGGAATCATGTTGATCAAAACAGCCCCTGTTCCTGTGACCCTGATCCAGTAATGACTTCTTCCGTTGGTGGACACAGATGAACCATATCTAAATGATTAAACACCTCCCTCCCTTGATGGAGATAGCCTTCCATCTTATCTGAACTCGACTTAGCCAGGGGTCGAACACTCACTGAGTGAGGTGTTTAGCTACTGATGTACTTCCTCAGAAACAGGACATGCTGGCCCAACCATCCCCAACAGACATCACAGCACTTTGACTGTTCAATCACTTGTATCTTTCAATAGTCATAGCAATGAGAAGACACAATGAAATGGTCTCTTAGCACATGACAACTTAGGCTCTTAGCATGACAACTTAGCAGGGTTCATACAGATCATTGGACTTTGCACTTTTTAAGCACTTTCCAAGGAAAAACATTTGTTTTCAAAGTCTCTTTTCGCGTTTAACAATGCTTTTTACATTTCTTGGGTCCAAGTCATTGACCTGTAGACAGCTTTTTGTGTCAAAATCACTGAGAGTTTCAAGTGCCGGTCATGATACCTTTAATTAAACTATATTCAGTAATACAAAGCACAAAGAGATTAACGCACGTAGGCCATGATAGATAGAAGACAGTCTTTCCCTTTATGCTGTAAGCGACAGGAAGTAAACAACGCATCAAAACGTGATTGACAATCATTTTCAGTAGTGAATCTGCTATAGCTATACCGATTTTATTTACATTCCAGCACTTTCCAAGAACTGTCCATAAAATTCCAGCACTTTTCCATGACTACAAGGGTAAATTGCAGATTCAACCACTTTTCATCGGACATGGTTAAATTCAAGCATTTTTTAAATCTGTACGAACCCTGCTGAGGCTCTCATCACGACAACTTAGGCTCTCTCACCTTGACAACATACTTCAGAGACATAATATACGGATTATCCAACGACAGAGAGAGTATATTCCGCAAAACAAACACATAAATACTTGAAACATATGTGCTTGAATAACATACACAGTTGTATGTATCTTGGGCCACGGAATAAACTGTCTGTCAGTCATGTTGTCCTAGGATTGCTTATTGTTACACAGCCTTGAGCTCCACATCTCAAGCAGTACTTGAAATAAAGTATGAAAGTCCAGGTGTCCTTGTCCTCATCCTAAAGTAAAATATTTGGCGGTCTTTAGATTCAAACTACACAGCAGTAAACCAGAATGCCTCCAGGACCCCTTAATGTCGGACACTGTCGAGTCGCATCCTTGTGCATCTACAAGTACAAGTACCACCATTGGCGGCCTATCGGTCTGCCTACCTGGGCTAAGTGGGGCCTCCCCTTCGTCCAGTTTCTCGATCTCCAGGTCCACCTTCTTGGCCATGCAGAACTTCTCTCCCTGCATCTGCTTCATGCACTTCTTGATGAACCCGATGTAGTCTGCACACAAACATGTATTACAGACAGTGACGCTGTGTTGTCTTCAGTTGTACCCATGTATCAACCATCGCATTAAAATCAGATCTTAGTGCTCCCTACCACCACACAAAGATCTGAGGACATCCCGTGACGGGCCATGTCAAACCGACCTTTTGAAAACTTTGACCGACCAATGAAATGACAAACAAGAAGTCGACACTAGCCAATCAGAAAGCAGCTTTCTTGAGCTTCACTGTACTAGTTTCAAAATAGCGAATTCCATTCCAGGCTATTCTTTGAAAAATATCAATTCAAATTTTGAAAACTGAACAATAGAAAACTCTGGAATGTCTAATGCCAAGATCGTATGGCAGTACTTCCCATGGACTTGGGAAAGTCTCTTCTATGGTAAATGTTTATCCTACTGAAGCAAGAGATAAAGATGATTTTGATGGCATCTTAGTGGCACAGCCCATGACTGTAATTCGGAATAACCCCTGTTAACTTTTCGAGGTTGCATGATTAGAAAACACATTCCTATTGTCATTTTCCCAATTTGATAAGCCACGCTCTGATTGGACAAATGGAAGGTCATCCTGAAGCCCTCAGGGCTTTTACTAAGCGGTAGTGAGAAATAAATCTGATTTTAATGCAGTTGCTGCTTCATGCACTTCTTGATGAACCAGGTGTAGACTGAGACAAACAACATGCCTTCGTTGTGCATGTTTGTCTCAGACTACGAAGGAATGTTGTTTGTTTGTTTGTTTGTTGCACTCAGCAATATTCCAGCTATAAGCAATGTTGTCCTATTTTCAGTTTCCCTTTGTTGAAAACAAAACACACAGGTATGGTGTGGAAAAAACGATCTTAAGAGTCAACTGTCTGATCAACAAGATCTACCATGATTCTAACTGTTCCAAATCACATGACATAGGAGATGCTATCCGGCTGGAGATCTTGCGTCATCCATTCTGTCAGTAACCAGGGGCCAGTTTCACATAGAGATAGTATTGCTAAGACGGTCGTAAGTCTATGTTAAAGTATAGGAGTAACAGTCGTCGTAGCGCTCCGATTGCTTTGTAAAACAGGCCACAGATGGTAATCTGAGGTCATACAACTAGTCACAGTGAACTTCAATCATTTTCAACAGAAATATATGACCCAAAACAGGTAACATTTCTACAGAAAATTAATAGTAATACCATTTCACTAAAATATTTCTCTAGTATTGAAATATATATATTAACAATTAATTAATGACAGCTATTCATACCGAAATGGAGCTCAGATGTGCTGAAATGTCCCTGAAGAAAACATAAATGAGGTGTGTGATTTATTTCCAGACAATTATGTTATTGCTGAATGATTTGAACCTGAAATGTCCATCAGCGGATGCTGTGTTCGAAATGACCTCACTTCTCTGAAATAATGAGTGATTTGAACTGACAATAAATCTCACCTCGAGGGAAGTTCTCTGGTCTGACAAGCTCCTTGAAGAAGTCATAAGCTGTCGTCACTTGATGGTAGTAGTCAGTATTTTCTTGGTACCAGAACTTAAGTTTCCGACTTTCCTGAAAGATGTGGAGCAGTGATTATAGTTAATCAGCTATACAATTGTAGTTGGATCTCACAGTGAGTCAGTGCAGGCCGCTTTGAACAGTATACCTTGAACAGTATTTTAGTTATATCATGGCGTGTCAGGCTAATGTGGGAGGAAAGCCTGAGTTGATGCAGAAAATACCCAGACACATAATCACGGAGAACGGGAATCAAACCCATTATCATAGGTTTCTGGAATGCTCTTTTCAGGAAAAAAGCCTCAAATAATCATTGTTTAGAGCCAATTCGCAGAGTGAGGTATGATGTAACTTGAACTTGTATTTGCAACCAAAGGTAACAGTAAAAACACTACTGAAAACAAGAGGTGTGACACCATGGTGGGGGAATTTTCTTTCTTTCTTTCTTATTGCCACACTCAACAATATTACAGATGGGATGGCGGTCTGTAAATAATCGAGCAATAGGGATACGATAACATGCATCAACCAAGTCAGCAAGCCTGACCACCCGATCCCGTTGGTCACCTCTTGCGGCAAGCATAGGTTGCTAAAGACCTATTCCAACCTGGATCTTCACGGGTAAAACAAAACTGGAGTTTGTTAAATGGGTTCTGCCTTAAGCATGTATGGTCTTCACACAAATCCATCACATCCAGATCCAGAGGTGAAGAAAAGCAAATCTTTGAAAAGAATTGTTCTAAAATGTCCTCACCACATAATGCTGCCCAGTCTTCTGATCCACCAAGAAACACATGAACCCCAGCTGGAGCTGAGGCTTGCCGTACACCTCTTCATCTGGAACACACATCACACCCATGTTCACTATCATCATAATACAGCGTCACACGTCACTAGTCTGTTAGTTCAAGACCAGTGAAAATCTAAGGCGACAATATCCTAAAATCTAGTTGCTTGACATAGTTAATCCGAAATGAGCTGTGTACTAGTTGAATATGAGGTGAGGTGAAATTGGGTTTAACGTCACATCCAAGATTATTGCACTTATATAGCGATGTGCATGTACGTATGTGCGTGTTTGTACTAGTCTGGCCTAATGCCGATTTATAGTGCTATCACTGAGATACCATGCCGACCAGTCCTTGTTTTAGCCTCAAATGCCAAGCACCAGACAGGGTAACAACAAGTACCATCTTTTAACGTCTTTTGGTGTGACGCGTTTGGGGATCGAACCCCGACCTTCCGCTCTCTGGGCGCACGCTCTACCACAAGACCACGGAGGCGGTCTTGTTGGATATGAACAATGGCCTACACCCTCTTAATAATGCATGCTACTAACAGAACCACTGTTTTCACAAAAATGTATTGTTTGTTTTGTGCTGAATAAAAATATTGCCAGTTTCAAAGAAGATTTAGGAAGTCCATCATTCAAGCACCATGAAGCGAGCAAGTCAACCATACACATCACATCAACAGTTTTACACCTATGAGGTGGGTGTTAGTTTGTTTGTTGTTTAACGCTGCACTCAGCAATATTCCAACTATTTGACGGTCGTATGTTAATAATCGAGTCTGGACCAATGTCATGATTGACATCATAAGCATCAATCTATGCCATTGGGATACGATGACATGCATCAACCAAGTCAGCGAGCCTGACCACCCGATCCAATTAGTCATCTCTTACAAGCATAGTCGCCTCTTATGGCAAGCATGAGTTGCTGAAGACCTATTCTCTACCTGGATCTTCAAGGTCTATGAAGTGAGTGAGTGAATGTTGTTTTACGTCCTGTCAGCTTCATCACAATGATCTGTATTAACTGAGTGCATCAAACAAACCAGTGGTTGACAGCATGAGCAAACATTCACAAAGTTTAAGGAAGGCTTTCCCAAGTGAATCGTGGTTAACAGTAACTTACAGTTGAATAGTTAATGAACAAAAAATGAATTTAACTGATGTCAGTGTAATATTAAGGACGGCCTAGTTATCACAAGCGACATGAAAGGGGGGTAACGGTGTATCATACTTCAACACAAAACATGTCCTTAACTTGGGTTTGACACTGGGTCCACACCACACAATGTTATAAGACCTGCATGGGGCCACATCATTCCTTGTTTATTAAGTAGTTAAATGTACAATTTCCTCTTGCATCTTGAAGAAAACTAATAATACATATATACCGTATATCACTGTGTATAAGGCAAGTTTTTCGTACCTAAAATAAGGGGGTTAAGAAGGGGGGGTCGAAGATCTCACATTTTTTTCCAGTTGTTTCACTTTCAGCTTCCACTGGTGATGTCAACCGGCATCCGATAGCCAGCCCAGCATTTGACAATAATGCTTCGCATTTAATCCTAAATAACTTTTCCAATAACTATTTCCATACATAAACATGATTTGTATCTCTTTTCCTTGAATAAAGTTTAAAAATTTCTGCAAATAAAGTTGAAATGACCCTCGCCTCCATGCAGATTGTCAAACCAGCTGACACGGTAAAACAATCAACATCCATGAGTAGAGAGCCGGAAGTACCGGTAAGGATTCGCATATTGCACATGTGACCTAACATGTGATAACCGGTGAGGCTGAAATCAATTCCCGCTGTTTTTACAGTTGTATTAACAACTGTTGGAGACGGAATAAACACGCTGAATGTGAAGCAAACATAAGCCTAGTTAGTTACAACATAGTTAATTGGCGATTAAATTACTCACCATTGTCTCTTATGTTATTACTTCATAAATGAATTTTATTTTACGGGCACCAATTTGGTGTCGTACCGTGTAAACACAAAATGGCGACGTGTGCTGGAGTTACACACGCGACCAATCATCATAGAAAAAACAACACAAGATAAACATATTTTTATTGCATATATAAGGTTTGTGTGAGCACTTGTGATGTGCTTCATTCCAGGTCGCTTTATACACGGAGTATATGATTTTGGGTCAATTTTGAAGGCGTGTACAGGGGGGTCGTCTTATACGTGGGGTCGCTTTATACACAGCAATATACGTTACTGCTCGAAAGAAGTTAAAGAACACCTGATTCTTCCATATTACTGACACGTTAACTATAGTAATATGAACGAATCAATTGTTCTTTAACTTCTTTTGAGTAGTATATCATTTGTTCAGAAAGCTAAGAAAAAATGATAAGCCTAAATTTGATACACAGTGAATGTGAGCCTTCTTCAGCCATCTGCAAATGTTTAGTTCAAACTTAAATACAAACAAAAATTATTACGCGTGTTAAATTTTTGCATGTATCAAAATCAATACTTTTAATCTAATAACATGCCTTCATGAAGTTGATGTCAGTATTTCAAATTAAATATTGTCAAATCAATATTCACTACACAGGTTTTCTCATCATCCGTCTTGTTTCTTTATCTAATGACCAATAAAAGACTTCATCTATTAGCAATTCACGGGAAGACTGCATCCAAAATCAATAATTCATAAACAGTTGTCAAACAAATGTAATTCGAGTGGCAAGCCAAAGGTAATTTGCTAGCTATGAAGAGTGCACTGTGTTCACGCAGATGACGGACTTTGTGCAAGTGTCTGCAACAAGCGGCGCTTGATTGATAGTGGCATATTAAACTGCCATTGATTTGTCAAACATCACCGAGAATCAGATTGCTTTTAACTATTCATGGCAGCAGACATACTATTATCCTCAAACATGTCAATAAGGTTTATGGGATTTGAGCCGCTCTAAAGAATCTCCATCCATTCAAGCAAAGGCTAAGGATTCTCTTTTGGAGCACAAATTTCCATTTCTCTTATTACTTATAGGGAACGTGTTTGCTTACGGAGTAAATCTGAAGGAATGATATCAATTTTAAACACTTAAATTCGCCTGAGCAAACTCACAGCATAACAATAATGATCTGCTATATAATTTCCGTTTAAAGAAACAGACTTAACAAAATCTACATTAGCGAGTTTTCCGGATTTAAAGACCTGTATGTGGTTCCTGTCAAACAACTCTTATATCAGAATTTGTGCCCTAATATCATTGTTTAATGCCGCAGAAGGTATATGACGGTGGACTGTAAATAATTGAGTCTGGACAAGACAACCAGTGGTTGATATTGTGAACGACCTATGCTGTTGGAATACAATGACACGCTATCAATGAAGTCATCAAATCTGACTAACCGATCCATTCATCAAATAGATATTTAAATGTTGGCCATAAGCAAATTATAGCCAACTTCAAAGTACCTATTTAATGAAAGCGAAACAAACAAGGAAAAGTCATTTTCCAATAGGAAACTATTTTTTTTTAGTTTCTGTAAGCGAGAAAGTGAGTGAATGCTATTTCCCACCACTGACAACATGTCAGCCAAACAATGGAAGCCTGCCACTAACTGTCCCCTCCAGGCAAACCCACGGGAGACAACTGGAGCAATAGAACTGATCCACATCATCAGAATGGTCACCATGGTAACACCCAATCCTCAGCAGTCCACACTGCAGTGGGCAATAGGGCACCAGAATCCCACTGCAGACCACAAAAGGCTCTAGTCCCGTGTGGATTCCGTATTAGAATAGGTCCCCAGACACCTACGCTGGTCGTAAGATGCGACCAAATGGTTCTGGTGATCAGGGTCAGTGGCTTGGTTGATAGCATGTCATCGTACCCCATCAGCACGAGCATTGTTCATAATATCAATCACTGGATTGTGTGATCCAAACAGGAATATCGCTGAGTGCGGCGTTAAACAAGAAATCAACAAACCATCCAGCAGCAACTAATTGTCCAACTAGTGCTACTGATCCCTCATCCACCCAAGAGCTTAACTGACGGCAGTCTAGTGCCAGCTCGTGGATCTGTATCAATACAATGGCAGATCGTGAAGCGGTGCCGCTCCCCAGAGAGTGCCTGAACTCCAATTCAATCCACATCTGAAAACTTGCTTTAACCCAATCAATAGGTTCTACACTATCTGTGATCTTCATTAGCAAATTAGCCATCAACGGCCCTGAGGATGAGAAGCAGACGTGCAAGTAATTCCACCGTCTACATGGAGGGAGATCCGGGCAAACCTATTACAGGCTGACTGTCCTGTAGCACCATTAAATCACGGAGTTTTATGGATGATTCTTTATGAGCTATCCTGACTGAGGGGTTTTCTTTGCAATGTTGTAACAACTGCTTGGCAATGAGTTAATGAGAAAAAGGTGTTTAACGCTGTAACCAGTGCTACAATCAATACCTCCTTCAAAGTTCATGTTAAATACCTTAAACATTGAAAGCTTAGCACCTGTTTCAGTCAATACATTTAATGATTTATTTGCAAGTGAGAGCCTCAAAGATCCTCCTTCAAAAACAAATTCTGCCAAATCTGATCAAAGATATATTCTGAAAAATTGCTTAAAAAACAAGATACCTACCAACTATTTTTCAGCATGTACCAGGGGCTAATGGATGGTCTGTTCTTATTTTGGCCTACCCCTGAATGTACCAGGGTGCTTTGCATGGAAAGCAGCACAACAGCCAAACACATGCATCTCTTAGGGTGGTGAGTAAGTGAGGGAACTGGGTTTAACACTGCTTCCACCAATATTTCACTTACATCATGGCAAGTCAGATTAATGTGGGAGGAAAAAAGGTCTAAGATGTGTATCACTTGCTAAAGTATGGATATGGTGCTGACAAACCTAGAAATATAATCAGGGCAAATTGTAAGGTTTGAACCCACTATCATTGGATTCTTGCATGCTTAACGAACCCAACTCTGTACAGTGAAATGTGGAGCCTAAATAAAGGCTGGGGTACACACCCATGTGATGTGTCATCCATCCATCCATCCATCCATCCGTGCCTGTTAAACTATGTCAATATGCTACAGGTTACCCAGGTATGTTCTACAGGCAGTATGGTGGCTTCTGTTTGTATGTGTGCTACATAGAGAATCTCAGTATGTGCCTCTTGACATCAAATATATCAACACTCGTCGATAAAAGTTTAAAACTTCGAGGCTTTTCCCAAGGAAGTTTAAAATTTTATCAACGATAGTTGATATCAAGTCTTTGAAAAGCATTTAGAAGTGATACACATAAGGAAGAGAATTTATGGATGTCAACTTCTTTATGATGAAGAACATAACGTTATGGAGTACTGGTATATGCTTACTCCTTCATCAGGTGAATGAATGCTATGAGGCAGAGAGCATATATATGTACATGTAAGAACAACAAAAGTAATACAAGGAGTAAGCATATACTCCAAAACATTGTGTTCCTCATAATAAAGAAGTTGACATCCATAAATTCTCTTCCTTGAGTGTTAATATATTTCATATCAACACATGAGTGTGAGATTCTATTTATAATCCTTCAAACCTTTTCACTTTGTAAACATTAATAACCACTGCCTTGATTGTAAGAAGTACAGCTAATCAGTTTCAGTGGCAGAAAGATTAATGATGTCATTTGATTGTGATGTCATGGTAACCGAAACTGTCACAATGGTCTGCAAAGGCTTGTGATGAAATTTCATTGTAGCAATATTTACTATGAGATATCGCTTGATCTCATCCAACCCATGTGAAGGCCAGGTTTGGATGATAAATGTGCTTCTCAATGCCAGGCCAGTGCTTCATGGGAACACGTCTCCTGCACAGCCATGTGTGAGGGCCCTGGTGCAGGGGAAGCTGCCATGGCTTTGGCGTGAGCCAATCAGGTCAATCAATACAATCAGATATACACCAAACTCTCACGGAAATCCTGTCTAACTTGATCACATCAACTATTGACCGACTATGGCCATCTCAACAGCCTCCATCATAGCCGAATAGGCTGCTTGTCAAGAACATACACCATTGGCCAATAACAAAAACTTTAATGAAGGTTGGTGCATCAATGAGATGTGTGCAAACATTGACTCATGTCCACAGTAGGAATACAATTTCCTTGGTCAGAGGAGGAGAAAAGCAAAATTGTGAAAGGAATTCTAAAATTGTAGCCTGTCACTGTCAGTGTCTTGCAGCCAAGACAAAAGAATCACGGAACTAAATCAGAACATACTGAATACCTCCATAAATTACGTATGACATGCATGCAGATGTTGTCTCATCAAAACAATCTCAGTGTGGGGGTGAATGACCAGCATACATTATTCTGTCATATCAATCAGAATGATGACCCAATATGGAGTGGCCTTAAGCTGTAATCATCATCTGTGCCCGGTTCAACAAAGCGATTGTAGTGCTAAGGTGATCGTAACACCCATACTTTAACACTGATTTACGACAGTCGTAGCGTGGAACGGGGCCCTGACATACATTGGAATCAGTCTCTCTGATACGTTTGAGAACTGAGCCATTAGGGTACAAAGACATTTTTTATCACATGGTCGGGGCAATGAGTTGGTCTTTCCAAGAAACATCCTTCAGGATTAAACTAAGCAGCCACTGGCTACCATCAGGGCAACATTTCCTGCTTTGACTCAAACTAGGATTTGGAGTTTTTACATTCAAATATGTAATTCTTTTATTGCTAATTTTCCAACAGCCTTCTGTCAGACAGTTTTGTTGTTTAACACTGCACTCAGCAATATCCAAGCTATATGATGGCGGCCTCAAAATAATTATGACTTGGCCAGACAACCACTGGTTGATATTGTGAGCAACGTTCCACACCATCGGGTTACATTGACAACCAAGTCACCCGAGTCCAACCACCCAATCTATTAAGACATACGATAAGCCAAGGTCGTTGGGGACAAATTCTAAAATCAAATCTCCTCTGGATCTTTGACAGACAGGAATCGATGTTCTCTATGTGAACTTACCAGAGTTAGCCTGTTGTTTGTTGATGACTATTCCTTTGTGTTCGCCGCCGGCAACATGGGCAACTTGTGGCGAGGACGGATCGTTGATACGTGTCTTCCTCTCCATCCTGATATGAGTGGCCTTGCCCTTTTTTGTAGGGGTCATCACGATCTCTGGAATAACAATTGCAAACATAAATCTAAATTGAAGTCCAAACCTCGGTACCAACAGAACACGACAGAAAGACCTTCAGATTAACAGCTGAAAGACACAGCGTGGTCTTGCCAGCCATGCATCAACAAGGTTCAAAATTGACATATACTACTCAAAAGAAGTTAAGGACCACCTGATTCTTTCATATCAATATAGTTAATCTGTCGTTGCATGACACATTAACTATAGTAATATCAAAGAATAGGCTCATCCTTAACTTCATTTGTATAGTAAAAGTGTTGGTCTGCAACTTGTACAAATGAGGCAGGACTAGTGGCATTTCCGTGTGGACTACCACTTCTACCAAAGGGAAGATGGCGCCTCAGCAGCAGATCATATTTGTAGACATAGGAAAAGCATTAGTTTCGAACCCTGATCAACATTGTCAAAGGAGAGGTCAACATATATGAAACAGGATGATCCAGGTCACCCAGACCAGCCTATAAACCACAGGCTTATGTTTCATCATGATTATACAACTGACATGTCGGGGAGTACACATACACGACGCAACAAGGGATGTCACTGTAAATCTAGGACGGCTGTGTTAAAACTCGGCCACACTTCAAAATTCCAATTCATCAAACTTCAAAAATATATATTCCTGAAACCAGTTTCAGTGTAATTTAAACTACGACACTCGACCTGTCTTTGGTAAATATACATCAATATCTATTCAAGTTATTGCTGAAAACTGTGAATGAGTGAGTGAACGCAGTTTATGCCATATTTCAGCTATATCACATCATGTCATAAACAATCAACCAGGCATACCATTGACTGAAAGCATCAGTGCTGATCCATCATCAGGGTACAATGACACCCAATCAGCTAAGTCACCGAGTTCCCATTGGCTTTTACAACAAGCATGAGGTGATAGGGACCTATTCTCACTGATTTCTACAGGTGTCTGGCAATGCCAAAATGTTCCTGTCAAGATGAAGGATGTTGCACAATAGCATCAACTCTACACAGCCCTCTAAGTGGCAACCATTTTGGTGGCCAAAGCAACTTAATCTTTGATTGGAGACCTAAATTTATCTACTGCTCACCACTTGGCTACTGGCGACAATATTTGCTTAAGAAAAATATTTACGTTCTAAAAACTGATGTTTGTCTCCTAAAATATTCATATTAGGAGCTGCTTTGCTCCCTAACAAAAAAAAACTTAAAGGGCCGCTACCTATCTACCAGTCAAGCTAATCATGAGTCAGCAGTTCAAATTCAAACAATCAAGCTCGTATGTTCAACTTGTTTTGTCACATCTTACAAACACAATATCTGTCCATTGTTAGTAAATATCCCAAATTTAGAAAGATAATCTTTCTAATCAGAGATGCCTTCGCATCTCTGATAAGCCAATCAGATGCATGGCACAGATATTAAAATGCCTGGCTTTTGACTGGACGCTGAGCCTGGAATAGCTTCTTCAGACTGGCTTACATCGTGAAGCTAATGGGGGTATTTAGGTAGGGTTTGTTGGAGCACTATGTCAGTGGTGAGTTTGAGTCTAAGAGATCACTGGTATTGATCAGACTGTGGAAATAAAGATATCGGAGACGAGGTGGAAGCATATGGCCACGTCTAGATGATGTTTGCTCATCGTGAGATAACAAGGTAATGTTACTGGGAGCTGAAGCCCAATCTATATATAGATCTGCAGTTCCACACAGAACACTACATGGACAAGATGAACGTACTGAATCACAGAGTTAAAGCAGCCATTGCGTCCCAGTCAAGGATCGCATACAGCATTTCACAAATGTTGTTGGACAAACGGTGTCTGAAATAACTGCCTGCCCGCCTGCCCGTGGCTGGTAACATTTCTGTCGGGCTGCAGAAAATTTCTCTCCACCTGCCCGACTGTCTGGCAGATAATTTAAGACTACTTATGTATTCAGTTTTATTATAACTCCTCACAGATTCTAAAGTGATTGGTTTGCATTATTTCAACTGAATCAAGATGTGATTTGTCTCTTTTATTTTTTTGCGATTTTTCAATATTTATTATGCATGAATGCGGGCAGGTAACTTTGAAGATGGGCATGCAACATTTATGGGTCACCTGCACCTGCTGGGTTTCATAAATAATATATCCTAAGAGACTTGTGCAAGTCTAACAAACTGCATGCTGGAGAGTTATCAATTTATCAATATTCATCCATTAGGTCAACATCGACATTCATACAGGATGTTAAATTATCCCAAATATTTTTAGTGCTTGTTGATGTGCAGTCATGTGTGTCCATAGTCCTCTACCCAAAGTAACCTCCTTATAAGACAATGTATAGTCCTACCATTCTATCAACATGTTAAGGGATGTTAGGATGAGGTGTGAAAGCGTTCCACTTCTCAAGACAGCGTTCTAATTGTGAATTCAAACTTGTGCAATGAAATAAACCAATCATATTTTAACCCTAAACAAGGCTGCCGTTATTACAACGACAGGACCTAATCCTTCCCTACAACACTATTTTAAGGCCAGGAAAAAAAAAATCCATTTCACCCAATATGTACAATCTGAATTTAAATTTGTGCAAGCAAGTGAATCAATACAAGTTGAACTCTTGGTTCAAGTATTCCCTCACTATAACACAAATAACCAATCCCTGATTACACAAAAACTTCTGAGTCAGACTGTTTCATTTTTCAAGACATGTGTGCAAATTGTTCCACCAAATATGCCCCAGCATACAAACAAGGCTGTGAGTACCGTGGGAGGCGTGCGCTATAATGAGGATACACGGCATACGGCTGTCACAGGACGTGACATTTGTAGCCAAGAGACATTTTACTAGCTGTTACGATGGATACACGGGTCAGTGACTTCATGTCTGGATCGAGGACACATCAAACAGCTTCTCCTTTAACACACCTAAGCAATCCATCTCTGCATATTCAATTCACTTGACTCGACATTTAAATACGCCACTGGCAAGTGCTGTTTACTGTGAAAAACATTACCAATTACCACTGGGATTCTGTTATATTCATTACGTAACTTAACCATGCTAACATAATTCAATTGATATGAAATTGCATAATCACAAAAACATGTTTTATTGTTAACTGTCCTTTCGGCACATTCAAAGTGACCATCAGAACCTTAAGTATTTTGCAGATAAATATTGTGTAGGATATTCTTAATAGGATCAAACAGTACATTGTAGTATTGATGTATTGCAATATGACCTTCGGACAAGTATTGATATTTGACAGCAATGACACAGCTATTTATGTCTCCTATGTTTTGATGAGGTTAATGCTTTTTGTACATAAAGTTATACGCGGGGGAATAATGTTGTTAGAGGCAACTAAATGGATTGGGTGCAGTGTTCGAAATAACCGCCTGCCCGTAGGCCCGTCGATGGTAGATCACGTGTAGCCACGAAGTTTCAAATGTGTAGGGTCCTTTAGCCTGCAGTAAATTTGCATCGACATACTTAACACAATATAAACTGCAGTACATTCAATGAGTGAGTGAGTGAGTGAGTGAATGAGTATGGTTTTACACCGCTTTTAGCAATATTCCAGCATTACCACGGCAGGGGACACCAGAAATGGGCTTCACACATTGTACCCATGTGGGGAATCGAACCCAGGCCTTCGCTTTAACCACAAGGCCACCCCACCCCCTCTAAATGAGGGCCTGAAGAGTTTAGCCAGGGCCTGAAGAGTTTAGCCAGGGCCTGAAGAGCTGGTCAGGGCCTGAAGAGTTTATTCAGGGCCTGAAGAGTTTGGTCAGGGCCTGAAGAGTTTGGTCAGGGCCTGAAGAGTTTATTCAGGGATTGAAGAGTTTAGCCAGGGCCTGAAGAGTTTGGTCAGGGCCTGAAGAGTTTGGTCAGGGCCTGAAGAGTTTATTCAGGGATTGAAGAGTTTAGCCAGGGCCTGAAGAGTTTGGTCAGGGCCTGAAGAGTTTGATCAGGGATTGAAGAGTTTAGTCAGGGCCTGAAGAGTTTGGTCAGGGATTGAAGAGTTTAGCCAGGGCCTGAAGAGTTTGGTCAGGGCCTGAAGAGTTTGGTCAGGGATTGAAGAGTTTAGTCAGGGCCTGAAGAGTTTAGTCAGGGCCTGAAGAGTTTGGTCAGGGCCTGAAGAGTTTGGTCAGGGATTGAAGAGTTTGGTCAGGGATTGAAGAGTTTGGTCAGGGATTGAAGAGTTTAGCCAGGGCCTGCACCTTGTAAAGTATGTTGCCCCTGATAGCTGCCTGACAAACACTGATCGGGTGGTCAGGCTCGATGACATGATTGAAAGCATGTGTTGTCCCCGTATGTCACCTGCGTAGATCGATGCTCGTGATGTCAATCACTGGCTTGTCAGGTCCAGTCACCTGCGTAGATCGATGCTCGTGATGTCAATCACTGGCTTGTCAGGTCCAGTCGGGTGCGGAATATATACGTGATCATTTCATAAGCTGTAGGGAACCGGTGTTGTATATATAATACCAGTATGGATTCCATGCATGCCAAGAGTGGGTGTCAGGTACCCTGGACTTAACATCAGTATTTGTCACTGTTGTCGGTCACAGGTTCAATCATGTATGGTTCACTTGTTCTTCTTCGTCAGAAACAACCAATTCATCTTCCAAGAAACATTCAAATTCCATGGTTCATGAAACTCGAAAACTACCGGTATTGTCACTCTCAGAGCTAGACATATCAGGAAATAATGATCCATTTGAAGTGACATCACTGCGAAAGGAACAAAGTAAGTATGAACCATGCTTCCTAATGTTTTAAACAGATCAGCGAAAACTTCAAAAAGGAAAAGTCTCACAACAAAATAACGTGAACAATAAACGCAATTGAGGAAAGTGCATGTTACACACGTTGGTTTCTCACTGAATAGTGAATTCAGATCACATTGTGGAAAGAAAGAGGAGTATATCTTTTTAATCCATTAATCAACATCCTGAACACCATATTTGCATTAACAATGTTACGATCTATCCAATTCTGCCAAGTTGTATACCTATATACCCATGTGACTTGCACTTTAAGCAGGATGTGTTCCAGTGTTGGTCATGGAGGCACTACAGTGTCACACTAACTGTCTCAATGCTGTGGCTGACCACCAATAAATCACGTATGTGTGTCAAGTCTCCAGGCTCCCTGCTCACTCCACTTTTATGACACATCGTAACAGATTCACCAATGTCCTAGATGCAGTTTCTGTTTCACTTCAGGCCTGCTCCAAAAGTCAGGTCGGACAGAGTTCATTTGAGATGAGTAATATAGGTTGTAAACGCGACAGACTAATGGCCACACTATAAATGGACTTCGTAAACTGTGCTAATATGGTTACATCAACTCAGAACATTTTTAGCACTTTTTGCAAAAGTCATCCATTATCATGACTAGTGAAAAGGCTACAGCTACAGTTCTGATCTAACAAAAATGTAAAAATTAATTCTAAAATAAAGTTGAGGAAATTAATATTGAAAGTAGCATGATGTATTTGAATATTTCTTGATATTTTTTTTTCATGACAAGGCATATTAATATTTATCCCATAGTTTCAGAATTTCATGATCATATGATAATTAATTTCACGGTTAAAACGTTGGCCCATACTCTTTGCCATGTCATCAACAAACACAGTTATTGTATTCTATTTATCATGTTTGTTATTATTTCACCTGACAGACAATAATTTTTAGAGATTGCTTTCAAAATAACTTTGTCAAGAAATGTTACCTAAATAGACACCAACTGCACTTTTCATTGATGTCAGTAAAGAATGTTTTGTCAGTTCTGAGAAGTTCATCTTCCACAGTCTGCAATGAACATACCGTATTCGACGTAATAAGCGCCCAGGGCACTCTCAAAATTAGAAATAGGGGGCTCTTATTAGAATAATATTTGTCAAAAAAAACAGATTTGAAAGATAAATTCCGTGGTTTATGAATGTTTATATATGAGAGATATATTTTTCCAGAATTTAATTGCCCATAATTAGGGGTGCATATAACACACGTGTGCGTATACGCGAATAAATAAGTATTGTGTACATTGATCAATCAGAAAGGGTGCTAATTGGGATTGTTCATGAGCCAATATATTAGCAAATATCGCCGTGGGCGCTTATTAGAGCGGGGCGCTTATTACGTCAAATACGGTATATGTATCCTCTGAATCAGGAGAAGTCAGGTGAAATGAGGTTTAATGTCACGTTAAACATTATTTCACTTGAAGATCATTATAGAGATATGCATGCACACGTGCGGGCATGCATGTCCATCTGCATGTGCTAGTCAGATACATGATGGTGCTAGCCCATGTAGATACCATGCCACAGTTTAACATGGATACCCCTACAGCATATTGTCCTTGGTTATCCCTCTAATGCAGACGGCCCGTAAAGATCCAGGGGAGAATAGGTCTTCAGCAACCCATGCTTGCTGTTAAAGGCGACTATCCTAGTCGTAAGAGACGACTAACGGGATCGGATGGTCAGGCTTGCTGACTTGGTTGATGCATGTAATCGATCCCAATTGTGTTGATTGATGCTCATGTCAATCATTGGATTGTCTGGTCCAGACTTGATAACTAACAGACCGCCGTCATATAGCTGGAATATTGTTGAGTGTGGCGTTTAACAACAAACAAACAAACAAACTCTAATGCAGTCAGCCAGACAGGATAACAACAAGTATATCTTTTAACGTCCTTCGGTACTACGTGGCTTGGGATCGATCCAGAGACGGAGCCAGTCTGAATAAAAGTCTCCGAACTGCACAGTCCACACTCACTGATGTGCAGACTGCTGTGACGTAGCTGGGACTTTGTTGACTGGCTAAACAACATCAGCTCACTTCTAACCTGATGTATTGACACTCCTCATCTGGCACACTTGTGTTTGTGGAAGCAGCAAGAGTTGAACGATTTACATAGTGTCGAGGCTGTGTGTAATTATGCCTTGCTTGGTGCATGTTTGTTTGTTTGTTTGTTGTTTAATGCTGCACTCAGTTATTCCAGCTATATGACGGCGGTCTGTAAATAATCGGGTCTGGATCAGACAATCAAGTGATTGACATCATGAGCATTGATCCACGCAATTGGGTGAGTATGGTTTTAAGCCGCTTTTAGCAATTTTCCAGCAACACCACGGCGGGGACAGCAGAAATGGGCTTCACACATTGTACCCATGTCAGGAATCAAACCTGGGTCTCAGGCATGACGAGTGAACGCTTTAACCATAAGGCTATTAGCTAACTGACACGATGATTCCTGAGAAGCCACATTTGAATTTTGAGTCAATGACAGGTCAGATATTACAAATTTTCCACCTTGGAGGCAGTTTGATAATTTAGGTTCCTTTTTAAGCAAGGAGGTCCACTGGTGTTAAAGGGAAACACTAGCTACCAAGGTTTACCTGGGCACACATACCACGCCTCACTATCACTATATTACAGTTATATCACAGCATGTCACTTGATGTGGAAGACACCCAAAGTGAGGCCAATACCAGCTATGAGGCATCTACCATTCTAGCAGAACCCCAAAACATTGGTGCTTGTAGACCTGCACAAGTCTCTAAGGCAAAGGGGCGGTCGGGTAGCCTAGTGGTTAAAGCGTTCGCTCGTCAGGCCAAAGACCCGGGTTCGAATCCCGACATGGGTACAATGTGTAAAGCCCATTTCTGGTGTCCCCCGCCGTGATATTGCTGGAATATTGCTAAAAGCGGCGTAAAACCAAACTCACTCACTCACTCTAAGGCAAAGATTATTAGTCTAAATAATAATCTCTAGATGATAGAAATATTAAGTACAAGTTGTCACTACAAAAATCTGGAATCCTTGTCTGCTTATCTAGACTTGCCTATTATAAGTAATGTATGGATAGAATTACTATACATCCAGGGTTTATCATTCAGTACAGACTTTGAGCAAGGCTAGTTGTTGACAAACCAAATAACAGGGATTCAGACTAATGATCATATTATCCTGTAATGCTTAAGGGAAGCAACTCCATACAGCAAATCCTGACACCATAGAGCTGTGGGATTAGTGAAGTAGATCAAGATATGCTTACATTAGTGCAGACATTTCTAGCAATATTCCAGCAATATTCCAGCAATATCACGGTGGGGGACACCAGAAATGAGCTTCATTCATTGTATCCACACGGGGAATGGAACCCCCGTCTTTGGTGTGACGAGGGAATGCTTTAACCAAAAGGCTACCCAACCGCCCCGACAGTGAGGGACTTGCCAAAAAAATAGTCTTACAGGGCTGTCCATAGACCAACACTTAGTCCATGAAACCATTTCTCTAAAATAACTGTAATTTATATTTTTCAATAGAACTTTAGAATCCTCCTCTGTTGTTTTCATATGTGGAAACAAGGAAACAAGACTTGGTTCAGTTTGAGCTAGACTTGCCTAGCATTTTGTAACAAATGATTAAAAAAAGAAACATTCCATAGTCATGGCACAGGATTGGCTATTTGTTGAGAAAGAAGACATATTGAGTTAGAAATTCCAAGTCACAGAACAGATACTGCAAATATTCCTTTACCATATAAATAAGGGTATCAATGATTCCATACCAAAAGGTTCCACTCTAACACTGTTCCACAACACATTGAAAATTCTCATAGAATAAATAAAGTAATCCTACCTTCTTCTTCGGACGCCATTGTGACAACCTGCTGCTTCTGGTTCTGTGGGTAAATCTGTAACAAAATGTCAGAATATTGTCAGCCACAAATTGCAACAACAAGTTTGGATTGAAACGAGGAAATACACACATACATCATCCTGTTCTACATTATGTCTAATTCCTGCAGATTTACATTGCTCTGTAGAACCCTGCTTTCTGTTTTATTTTATATTGCCACAGCGGTCACTGTGAAAACCCTAGACTTGCACAAGTCTCTCAGGCAATAATTATTACTTTAAATCATAATTTCTAGATTACATAAATGACAAGAACAAGTTGTCCCTGTAAGAGACTGGTGTCCTTACTGTCTGCTTATCTAGACTTGCCTATCATAAAGATAGAATTACTTTACACCCATGGACTTATCATTGAGTACAGCCTTGGAGCAAGGCTATGGGGCCCCATTTAGATGCCTGAGATCCCCAAATCACCCCATCTTACCTACCAAACAAGACATCACTTAACAATTGTTACATAGGCGGGACCAATATGTTTTCTTGTCTTAAACGTTTCCATTACAATTTGTTGATAAGAAGCAAGACGTTTAACTGAAATAAATATAGATATAAGATTTTGGTTGACTTGCCTGTAAAACAGAATACTTATGTGTGGCATATGACTGGATTACACAAATATGGTACCCCTTGAAATAAACTTCTGGATTGTTACAACTATCAAATTATTACAACATTCCGTATTTTCCTGGAACTATGTACCACCAAAGTACAATTAACAGAGAAATATTTCCTTATATGAAACAGCAGATATGGTTATGATGATTTACGTTTCCCATTGTTAACACTGTCCCCATTCACAGGAAGCATCACAGTGCCAGTGAAGGAAGTACCAATACAAAGGTCGCACTATCAGACCACAGTCAAAATACACAGATCCTTTCTTCTGGAGTTTCAGTTCCAGCACAACCATTACAGAGAGGGACGCTGTTGTAGGTCATTACGACAGAGAGAGACTGTGTTGTAGGTCATTATGTCAGAGAGGGACTGTGTTGTAGGTCATTACGTCAGAGAGGGACGGTGTTGTAGGTCATTAAGTCAGAGAGGGAGGGTGTTGTAGGTCATTACGACAGAGAGAGACTGTGTTGTAGGTCATTACGACAGATAGGGACTGTGTTGTAGGTCATTACGTCAGAGAGGGACGGTGTTGTAGGTCATTACGACAGATAGGGACTGTGTTGTAAGTCATTACATCTAAGAGGGACGGTGTTGTAGGTCACTACGACAAAGAAGGACTGTACGTGTTGTAGGTCATTACATCTAAGAGGGACTGTGTTGTAGGTCATTACATCTAAGAGGGACGGTGTTGTAAGTCATTACATCTAAGAGGGACGGTGTTGTAGGTCACTACGACAAAGAAGGACTGTACTTGTTGTAGGTCATTACATCTAAGAGGGACTGTGTTGTAGGTCACTACGACAGAGAGGGACTGTGTTGTAGGTCATTACATCTGAGAGTGACTGTGTTGTAGGTCATTACGTCAGAGAGGGACTGTGTTGTAGGTCACTGCGACAGAAAGGACTGTACATGTTGCAGGTCATTACATCTAAGAGTGACTGTGTTGTAGGTCATTACATCTAAGAGGGACTGTGTTGTAGGTCATTACATCTAAGAGGGACTGTGTTGTAGGTTACTACGACAGAGAGGGACTGTGTTGTAGGTCATTACATCTGAGAGTGACTGTGTTGTAGGTCATTACGTCAGAGAGGGACTGTGTTGTAGGTCACTACGACAGAGAGGGACTGTGTTGTAGGTCATTACATCTGAGAGTGACTGTGTTGTAGGTCATTACGTCAGAGAGGGACTGTGTTGTAGGTCACTGCGACAGAGAAGGACTGTACGTGTTGTAGGTCATTACATCAAAGAGGGACTGTGTTGTAGGTCATTACATCTAAGAGGGACTGTGTTGTAGGTCACTACGACAGAGAGGGACTGTGTTGTAGGTCATTACATCTAAGAGGGACTGTGTTGTAAGTCATTACATCTAAGAGGGACGGTGTTGTAGGTCACTACGACAGAGAAGGACTGTACGTGTTGTAGGTCATTACATCTAAGAGTGACTGTGTTGTAGGTCATGTCAGAGGTACCATGTTATAGGTCATTAGTTGGCACATCCTAAGCCACCATTTCCTCATGTTCTGCCATGCTTACAGGTGGTGCTATGCAACTTCTGCCATTACGGGAGGCAACTCTATTGGTTCATGTTCTATTTAGAGCACATCACGATCTCCCAAACAGACAATTTAGTATTGTGTGTACCTAAATATCGATGACATCATAGATATCAGTGAATCATTACAGCAGGTTTACCATGGTTACATTAAGAACACTCGTTTTTTCTACTTCATAATTATTTGAAAACTATCATGAAACATAAACCACAAATAATTCACAATCATACGGCATTTCAAACTTAGCATGCAATTCGTCCACATGTTGTGCATAAATAATGTTATAAAATGTTTACAAGATTTCAAGATTTAACATACAAACTATTTTGTGAATATTAACATCATATTAAGATACATGGTCACCCTAAGATCTTGTAATCTGTGAAATTTGTTGTGTGAGAACTGTTTGTTTAATCCAGTGATTGATGTCACGAGCATCAATCCATTCATTTGGGATACGATGACATGCATCAACCAAGTCAGCAAGCCTGACCACCCGATCCTGTTAGTCGCCTCTTACGAAAAGCATAGTCGCCTTTTACTGCAAGCATGGGTTGCTGAAGACCTATTCTACCCTGCACGGGTCGTGTGAACTTTGCAAGACTTCATCATGGGAGACACATTAAGGCTGGGTATTAAATGACCATAATAACCCACACATCTGAAGGATGACGAGATATTCCACATACTCCACATCGTGTGCTAGGGCTGGGACGGGTAACTCGGGTACTCGGGTACTCGGGTACTCGGGTCGGGTAGGTCCAGAGCAGGACCCGGGTACCCACAAAACTACCCTGACCTGTGGTTAGTCAAGTAATATATTGTTTAATGGCAAAAACACACTATAGCTCAGTGGTTACACCACAAGTTGCTAATGTTCGCATTTCTTTCTGTCGACGCACACATTCCTTTTGACTTGTACATGTCTGAGTAAAGATAAAGCTTCAGTCAATTTCAGAGTACATATGATCTGATCGTTTGATACATGCATCTAAACAGTTTTTGTCAGGGCTGTGGTAAAATTATTCCCAGTCAGACATTTTGTTCCCAACTCTTGAGACCTACAGTGGGTACCCAGGTAGGGTCTGGTCATAGGGGGTAGGGTACCCGGGTAGTAAATTTGGATTGTCCCAGCCCTATCGTGTGCATATTTACTTCCAGCTCAAACAATTCCGTATGAGCCTGTGGTTTTTATACCATTTATCAATATTACCATAATAGTTCTGATAAACAAAGTGACAATGGAAGCACAAAGTTTATGGCATCAAGTGAACTTGGTAAATAAATCATGATATTTAGAGCCAGTGGCCTCATTAACTATGAGGTTCCCCATGGGCGGCTGCCAATTTCCACTGCTGAGCAGTTTAACATAAATGCTCTGAATTACACGAGTCTCCCTGGTTTTAGAATACCAAGCCACAAAAAGCCATCAAAGATCTCTACATTCTAATATCTGGGACATGATATCACTTAACTATGCTTAAGTACTTCAGATGTTGTGAATTATTGCAGATTATTTCATCCCCAAAGAGTCTAAATTATTGACGTGAATAAAACACTTTGTAACAAATTGATTTTGTTGGTACCTTCAGCAACCATGGTTATATACCAAATGTTATGTACAGATCATCGGATCATAGGTTTTTGGACATCAAACATTTTCAGACGACCATGTTCATCGCAATTACTTGCGCTACAACTATGAGTGTGGTGTCACACAGACTATGTAAATACTCAGATGATGGCTTGTTTTTAAGATAAAGTTGACTTCTATAAGTGAGTGAGGCAGGGACTCAAAGTATATACCGGATAATTCTTTTGTGTGCTTGTTTGTTGTTTAACACTGCACACAGCATTATTCCAGCTATATGACAGCAGCCTGTAAATAATTTGGGGCGGTCAGGTAGCCTAGTGGTTAAAGTGTTCGCTCGTCACGCCGAAGACCCGGGTTTGATTCCAAACATGGGTACAATGTGTGAAGCCAATTTCTGGTGTCCCCCGCCGTGATATTGCTGGAATATTGCTAAAAGCGGCATAAAACCATACTCACTCACTCACTCACTCACTGTAAATAATTGTGTCTGATCAATATTTTATCAGGGTACGAGGACATGCTATCAACCAAATCACCAAGTCTCACTCACATTCAAGTGATGAGCCAATCCTTTAACAACTCGACTACTGTTCTCCTCCCACACACATGTAGAGCAAGCATGAGGATATGATCCATGTAAGCAGCTTCAGGACTAGGACATTGTTGTAAATTCCACAAAAAAAGGCTGAAAGGAAATTAAGCTTGTGGTTCTCTTCACATGGATTACAAGACATTAACATGCATCTGTGGTGTTTCTAGGGTACACCCAGCTCTGTCGTGTATCTGATGACTTTGTCAAAAAGAAATCTCTGTTAGGGTGAGCACAGGAACAATGGGGTCGATAATGTAATTTGGACCAAAGTAAATTATCGGACGTCACACAACAGTATTTGCTTTAACAGAGTTGGTTGGTTTGTTGTTTTATGCTGCACTCAGCAATATTCTAGCTATAAGACGGTTTGTAAATAATCGAGTCTGGACCAGACAATCCAGTGATTAGTATCATGAGTATCGATCCATGCAATTGGGATCGATGACATGCTTCAACCAAGTCAGCGAGTCTGACCACCCGATCCCTTTAGTCGCCTCTTATGACAAGCATAGTCACCTTTTACGGCAAGCATGGGTTGCTGAAGAACTATTCTACCCCCGGATCTCAACAGGTTCTTTTACAGAGATACTATCAGTCTCTCACATGACCACACCTATTCTTCATACTTCTATTGAGGGCCTC